AACGCCAGGATGGTCAGGTATCAGGGAATGCTATGTGAGAACCCTCGCCTTCACCCTGAATTAGTGTTGACCCTGAACCCTGCAACCCTTTTGCCTGTCGGGCCAGGCCAGCCAGACCATGACTGCATTGAAGTCATGGATGAGGTGTTCTCCAGCAGACCAGACTTGCTGGATCAGGCTCTCAAAGACCCCGACACTAAATATTTCACCGACGGTAGCAGTTTTGTAGAAAGGGGAGAGCGTCTTGCAGGATATTCCGCGGTAACTCTAAACTCCGTCATTGAAGCAGAGGCCCTGCCGAAGGGGACTTCGGCACAAAAGGCAGAGCTAATTGTTTTAACCCGAGCCCTCCAACTGGCAGCAGGGATACGTGTTAATATATACACAGACTCTAAATACACTTTCACCTCTCTCCACGTACATGGGGCCTTATATAAGGAGAAGGGTTTAATAAACTCAGGAGGAAAGGACATAAAATATGGTAAGGAGATCCTTGAACTCTTAGACACCGTGTGGGCCCCTAAAAGTGTGGCAGTCATGCATTGCCGGGGACATCAAAGGGGGGACACCACAGCTGCACTGGGAAACCGAAAGGCTGACCTAGAGGCAAAGCTAGCAGCTTCCAAAGGAGCCATAAAATCAGCGGCTTTACCTGCTGCACTGTTCCCTAACCCACTGGCAGAGTGGGACCCTAATTACTCACAACATGAAAGTAATTGGGTTAAGACTGAGAGTGGCAACTACCTCCCAGGGGGATGGTGGAAAGCTGAAGACGGCCGAGTAGCAATTCCTGAGGCCTTTGCTCCAGCCTTTGTTAAGCAGTTCCATCAGGAAACTCACATCGGCCGGACAGCCCTTGAAACAATGTTAAGCCGGGATTTCTACATCCCTCGGCTCTCCAGCATAGCCCGAGTGGCATGTGAGCAATGTGAAACCTGCGCCTGAAACAACCCACGTCAGGGGCCCAAGGCCGCCCCTGGAATACAGAGCGTTGGGGGAGCCCCCTTTGAAAATGTGATGGTGGACTTCACGGAGCACCCCCCGGGTTCGGGGATGTAAATACCTGTTGGTCTTTGTATGTACTTTCTCAGGCTGGGTAAAGCTTTCCCTACCCAAACAGAAAACACGTGAAGTGGCCCGGCTTCTTCTCAAAGAAATTATCCCACGATTTGGGATCCCTATCACTGTGGGTTCAGATAACGGGCCAGCGTTTGTGGCTGAGGTGGTGCAGCTTGTGGCAAAAGAGCTAAAGATCACCTGGAAGTTACACACGCATACCGACCCCAGAGCTCCGGAAAGGTGGAACGAATGAACAGAACCTTGAAGCTGCAATTAAGTAAACTGTGCCAGGAGATCCATCTGCTCTTGGACCTGGTGTTGCCTTTAGCCTTGTTAAGAATCAGGTGCAGCGCCAATACGCAAACGGAGCTTTCCCCTTATGAAATCCTTTATGGGCGCCCTCCCCTAATTATTAAGGGGATAAGGGGAGATTTAAATGAGATAAGCAATTTAACCCTAAGGCAGCAAATGCAGGTTCTGGGCTCTACTCTAGCCAGTCTACACCGATGAGTTAAAGAGCGATTGCCTGTGAGTCTGTCCGCAGATGCTCACTCCTTTGAGCCAGGAGATGCTGTATGGGTAAAGGAGTGGAATGTCCAACCACTCAAACCTCTTTGGAGGGGCCCGTTTACTGTCATTTTGTCAACCCCTACTGCAGTAAAAGTAGCCGAGGTGGGTCCCTGGATTCACCACAGCAGAGCAAAGCCGGCATCTGGGGACTGGGAGTGCGTTCCTGATCCGCCCACGCCGTGTGAGCTGACCATAAGGAAGAAGAAGCGAGCTGCAATGGCGGAGACTGCAACGGGAGACGACAGCCCTGCGTCAGTCACTCCGGAAGCTGACTCATCTACGCACGGCGGAAGCTTGAGGAATCGCCGGTCTGGTGAAATAAATAGACGGTCCTTATTTCTTACATCTGCCTCTTACTGTAATGCACTGTCACCCCTTGTCTCTCACAAATTATTGCAATTTTTGCTTTACTTCTTGCTGTTGGATTGGCAGAGCTTGCCCCAGCCAGCTGGATATGTGGGAGAACAGCCTATACAGTACTCCCTTCAGGCTGGTCAGGGTCATGTGTGCTGGGAACTATTCGCCCATCCTTCTTCCTACTCCCACTTGCAGAAGAACATCTGGGAGTTCAAATATATGGAGATAGGAAAGTTCAAAGAAAGCGGAGTGCCTTGCAAATTGGCAACTGGAAAGATGATGAATGGCCTCCTGAGCGGATAATTCATTATTATGGCCCTGCTACCTGGGCTGAGGATGGGTCTTGGGGCTACCGCACCCCCATTTATATGCTAAACCGCATAATTAGGCTGCAAGCAGTTGTAGAAATTATGACCAATGAAACTGCCAGAGCTCTTAACTTACTAGCTATGCAGCAAACCAAAATGCGCAATGCCATCTACCAAAATCGCCTCGCCTTAGATCACCTGCTTGCTTCTGAGGGTGGTGTTGTGGAAAATTCAACCTGAGCAACTGCTGCCTACAGATAGATGATGAAGGAAAAGTCATAGAGGAGATCACAGATCGAATGAGAAAGATTGCTCATGTCCCAGTCCAAACCTGGAACGGTTGGAACCCCAGGGAGTTATTTAGAGGATGGTTTTCATCTTTCGGGGGATTCAAAACCCTCATAGGTATTGTCCTCCTAACTCTGGGAGGATGTTTCTTGGCTCCCTTGATTATACGATCGGTCTCCAGTCTCACTGAGACTACGGTTGAGAGAAAAACGGCTGCTCATGTAATGATGTTATGGAAATATAAACCTCTAAGCCAGGATGCTGCTCTTTGACCCAAAATAGAGGGGTCCGAGCATCAAAGGGGGGAATGTGGTAGGAACTCTTCCCTAAGGAGAGAGAAAAAAAAAAAAATGAAGAAGAGAGGAGAGAAGACTTCAAGGTCACCTAGATATGCACCCAGGTGCTTACATCCCCCATGGCCTTGTAAACTGAGACAACTTAATCAGACTGCATGTTTATGTGTGTTACCATATATGGGAGACAAAGAAATAGAAAATGTATAAAAAAAAACTATGCCATGTGATGTGGGCCGCTCAGTTCTTTGGGTACGAACCCAACTGAGCAGTGCCGGCACAAAGTTGCTTCCTGGAAAGAAAAGCCTCGGTGTCACCACTCTCTGTGCGAGAATCCTGCAACAGGGGAATCAGAAAAGACTGTTTATTTTGCACCTGTGCCAGCCTAGTGGATCACCTCCAAAGGCTGAGTACCCGGTTCGGGTTTTTCTGATCTTTTATACATATGTGCTTCCAGGTTGAGCGGGACTAGTATACTCAAGCTTCTGGCTCCTTGCTGCTGACTGATGCAAGAGGCAAGCAAGATGGTAGAAGCCAAAATCATGCAAGGGGAGTGTCTGTCCTCAGACACTGGGTGGCCCTTTTTTTTAATCTGCTCACACCAGCTTTTCTTCTCACTGGGATATGAGCTGGATTACATAAGAAATAAGTATGACCATCTATTCTAGGATATCCTTCTGGATATACATAAAACTTATACTAAACATTTAATCTGCCATTTAGAAACCACATCACAAGAAAATAAAATCCATGCAAGTAGTTTTCACATTAACTTTCATAGTTTCCATGCATCATTGATCCAGTGATGACAAAAATCAGGAGCTCTATGAAAGTGAGTTCCTGCTGCCCCTAAATACCTGTTTCTAATGAATGATGCTAAATAAAGTATAAATATTATCTAATAAGGTTTCCACTATTCATTACACATTATGAACATAAAAACTTTGTCCTGACTATTGGTCTTTCATATCTCCCATATAGTATACACTTCGTAGATATCACTTCTTGAAAAGAAGCCTTATAGGGGTGCCTGGGTGGCTTGGTTGGTTAAGCGTCCAACTTCAACTCAGGCCATGATCTCACGGTTCATGGGTTCAAGCCCCATGTCAGACTCTGTGCTGACAGCTCAGAGCCCGGAGCCCGTTTCAGATTCTGTGTCTCCCTCTCTCTCTGCCCCTCCCCCACTCATGCTCTGTCTCGGTCTCAAAAATAAACTGAAAAAATAAAAAATAAAATAAAATAAAAATACTGAAACAAGACACTTAAGTGGTACCATATGAAAAAAACATCTGAAGAAGAAAAATGGATATTGTGCTATAGCAAAAACTGAATACCAAAATAGGATATTCACTCACTCCCTTTCACTTACTGTGTCTTTCCATTAGACAACCTGCACCCTGTATTTTAGCTTCTTTTTCTAGTGGGACACAATAACAGTGAAAACGGAAACCAGCGCATTTTGGCTCATCAGAGCCACCAAAATTTTTAAAAAAATTAAAAAATAAAAAGTTTCAGTCAAGACCACCCGCGAACTTCATCTATGCTCTGACTCTCTGGAAATTTTCTTTTCTTTTTTAATATTTTATTTAGTTCTGAGAGAGAGACAGCATGAACAGGGGAGGGTCAGAGAGAGAGAGAGGGAGGTACAGAATCTGAAGCAGGCTCCAGGCTCTGAGCTAGCAGTCAGCACACAGCCCAACGCGGGGCTTGAACCCACGAACTGTGAGATCATGGCCTGAGCCAAAGTCGGACGCTTAACCGACTAAGCCACCCAGGCACCCCTTTCTCTCTGGAAACTTTCTAAGTGGCCATGAGGACCCAAGAGCCACTAGTGTCTGCCTGGAAAGGTTGGAGAGGGTGTCTATGCTACTGAATTCCTATGCAGAAATTCCTAGGTTTCTTCAGGAGCCCGGGAAAGGCCACTGCCCCAAATGGGAATCTCACGGGAAGCTTCCTAGGCCTGCCTGGAAAGACTGCTGCCGGACTAGAAGTCGCCGAGGAGATGCACACACTGAGAAACGACAACAAATTTTCTAAGTCCGGCAGGGGGAGGCGGGGCAGGGAACGACTTGTACCATCCCTGAACACTTGTACAAAAGGATAAAGGAAACTTGAAAACGCACACCTAGTGGAAACCTTAGCCCACGGCCAGCTCAGTCAAAAGGTCACAAGAACGAAGGGAAGCTGTTAGACGAGGTCTGTTAATATAAAAAAGGATCATTATCCTCACTGAGGGCACGTGAAATTGGTGTAAAATTACTGAGCACCCAACAGTATTTTCAAAATGCAGCGAAGGCCGGGAAAACACGGAGGCCTCTAGCTTGACCCTCACACAATACGGCTACAAGGGAAAGGACCGTGGACAGCAGGAAAGGAATGAATGCGGGGTGTGCCCCCTGCTCCCCACCGCCCCCGCCGCGCCGACCGGTGAAGGCCCCTCCCCCAGCCCTCCGCTGCTCCCGCCGCGTCGACCCCGGGCACCACCGTTCACTAGGACGGCTTTCTCCAGGGCACAACACCCCCCACCCCCCACGTGGCATCCTCTAGGTTGCTCCTTTTACTCACTCTCCCTTCGCGGTCGCCCGGCGTCTCCCTCCCGGTCTTTCTTCCCTCAAGTCGCCGCCCACTCGGCACTCAGCGACGCAACGGATGCCGCCTGCGTCCTAGCAGCTCACTTTCCAGTGGGTTACCGGGAATGTAGACACGCTCTGGCAGGTACGGCCGGGGGAACAGGTGTGGGGACGAAACAGCAGGAGATGTCATACAACGGGGTGGTCCCTCCCCCAGCCTGGGGCCCAGGGGCCTCGCCCAGGTGACCGCGAAGGGGAGGCTTGGAGGCGGCAGGGTCTCACTGCGGGAGGATGAGAACCGCTCGGAGGTGGGTCTGGGCGAGGAACGGAGTTACGCCAATCTCAGGGCCAGGGGCGGAGGCGGCAGCCCGGGCGCTAGCGGGGTGTGAAGGGGAACGTGAAGAGCCTAGGACCCTAGCGAGCATAAGCAAACGGCGTGGGGCCGGAACTGCGGAGGGAAAGGAGAGTCCAGGAGGCGTCTTCAGTGGAGGGGCGGGGCCGGCGCGGGGCGTAACCGGCGTGGGGCGTGACTTAGGGAAAGTGAGCTGAAACCTGGAGGGGACATCAGCGGAAGGACCGGGTCGTTTGGGGGCGCAGCTAGCACAGGATGGGGCCTAGAGAGGGTGAGCAGAGAGAGGGAACGGGGACGTCCACAGAAGGTCGTGGCTGCTGTAGGACGTAGCGAACGTGGGGCGGGACCTAGGGAGAGTGAGCGGGAACGGGACAAAAGCCGAGGCCCAGGGCCGGTGAGGACGTGGGCCGCGTGAGAAGGGGACTAGGGAGGTGGAACGCAGACCAGAAAGAGACAGAAGCGGAGGGGCGGGGCCGGTGCAATACGTGTGCAGAGCGAGGCGGGACCTAGGAAGCGGTCGCGGGAACGGGGCGTCAGCGGAGGGGCGGGGCTAGTGTAGGACCCGGCCAGCGTGGGGCGGGGCCTAGGGAGGTTGAGCGCGGACAGGGCTTCAAGAGAGGGGCGGGACCGGCGCAGGACGTGGCAGCGTAGGGCGGGGCCTCGGGAATATGAGCGAGGCGAAGCGTAAAACGTGGTGGGGCCGACCGAAGGGCCGGAGCGGCGTAAAACGCGTTCGCCGTGAGGCGGGTCCTAGGGAGGGTGAGTGGTTTGCCCAGACGCGGCGTCAGCGACTGGCGGGCCAGCTTGGGGCGGGGCCAACTGAAGGGGAGCGAAGAACGAGAACGGCACGTCCGCGCAGGGGCGAGGCCGGTGCTGGACGCGGCTACATTGGGGCGGAGTCAAGGAAGTCGAGTTTGGGCGGGGGCGGTTTGGGGGCGTGGTTACGCCCCGTTTCGTCCCGCCTTTCCCAGCCAGCCCCTCCTTCGGTCCTATCCACCCGCACGTTGGTTGCTCCTGTGGGTTTGGGGGTGTTTTGTGTCCGAAGTAGGTGGCTGCTGCTTCCCTACCTGGCGTGACTGTTTCGGGCAGTTCCAGGTGAGACTCAGAGCCCTGGGGCCTCTTGCACTGAACGCGCCCGTGTGTCCCCGTTAGGGTGACCGGTGTGTCCGCAGCCCCCATTGGCTGGACACGCCGGGCTGGGGGCGTGGGTCTCGCGGAACCCAGGCAGCAGCGGCGGCCGCTCTTGGCGCGAGTTAGTGGACTGAGCAGGGCAGGGGGGGGGTCTGTGCTGGTGGCGGAGAGCCGGCGAGAGAGGCGGGACGTGGCCCAGAGCAGCGGGTGCTCAGCTGGATGCTGAGTGTCCGGAACCCGGGGAGAAGCGTGGGTGCCACCGAGAATCGCTTTGGGTCGTTAATTTGTCAGTGTTGCGGTTTCACATTTTCCTGGGGTGACTCCGAGCTATCTGAAGATTTCTTTTATAAGTATGGGATATTCTTTTATTTCTTTCCTTTTTATTGTATTTAGAGTACAAGTGGGTGGGGCAGAGGGAGGGAGAGAATGCCAAGCAGGCGGCACACCCAGCGCGGACAATGCAGCGCTGGATCGCAGACCCTGGGATGATGACCTCAGTGAAAATCAGGAGTCTGAACCTCAACTGTCTGAGACACCCAGGCGCCCAAAAAGTATGGGATATTCTAATCACTGTTTTTGTTTTCTATTTCTTAATGTTTTATGTCAAGCTGGGATAATGAATGAGGCTTATATAATGGGTACCACTTAGGAAATATGTGGATTTTGCTTCTAATTAATGGAAAAGTAATTTTTCAATATCTGAGGATATTTGATATCTGAGGGATGTTTCTTGTTTGCCGTTGTTAACCTTAAACACAACTGCCAAGGGACACCAGGGTAGCTCATTCGGTGGGCTTCAGACTCTGGATTTCTGCTCAGGTCTTAATGCCAGGGTCATGAATGGAGCCCCAAATCAGACTCCACGGTCAGCATGGAGACTGCTTGGATTCTCTCTCTCCCTGTTCCCCTTTTACCTCCTCTGCTGGAGAGCATATTCTCTCTCTTTCTTCCTCCCTCCAAAAAATAAAAAAGTAGAACTTCCTGTTATTTTAGCAGCAACTGATGGAGTTAGTCGGGAGTGAATAAAAGAGAATTACATTCTGGGACAAGCAAGCTTTAGGAAAACTGTAGGAAATACAGGAACAAAGAAGAAGCATGCTTATTTAAGGAAAAAGAGGGTAATCGGGAAGGTTGCTGTGTACTACAAATCCATTGGAGTAAACGGAGAGTTTGTAGTGTGGTGGCTTCTCACAGGCAGAACTGGTGTCCTGGGGGATAAGGAAAGCCTCTCTTCGTCCTGCTGGAGTTGTTGAGTAGTATCCACGTGCAAGGTCAAGTGCCTGAAGGGTCCAGTCCCTCTTCCCATTGGGTCTGCACTTGACTGTGTGTTGTCAGGTGGGAAAGTTTTCCCTGCCCTATCTCCCCACTCTATTTTACAGAGATTTTCTATTACTAGGTTTCATACCATAAACATTAAAAATTAGCAGTCAAATTGGATTTTCAAATTTCAATAACTTCATTTATACCTTTTAAAAGTTTTATTTATTTTGAGAGAGAGCATGAGCAACAGAGAGGCAGAGAGGGAGAAAGAGGATCCCAAGCAGGCTCTACTGCACAAAGCCACATGTGGGGCTCGACTCACGAACCGTGGAATAGTGACCTGAGCTGAAGTCAGGAGTGGGAGGCTCAACCCACTGAGCCCCCCAAGTGCTCCAATGTACACTTCATAAACTTTAACATGAAAGTGTAAGTTAACATCTCTTTTTTATGTTTCCTTTGGAAAATCTGATCCTGGTTGGAATTTGGCAATACCTGATTCCAACTACTCATGCTGAGTAACTTCTCCAAGATTATTTACAAGAGAAGACATTCTTCTGACTTTCTTGAAACTTAAAAAAAAATTTTTTAAATATTTTTGTGAGAGGGTGAGCCACAGGGGAGGGACAGAGAGAAAGTCAGACAGACAGAGGATCTCATATCCATGCTGATATGAGACAGCCCAACGTGGGGCTCAAACTCAGGAAACATGAGATCATGGCCTGACCCAAGGTCAGATGCTTAACCAACTGAGCCACCCAGGTGCTCTCTTTCTCAAAACTTTTGAGTTGATTTAATAATAGTATTTGAACTCAAATCAATTCAGAATTTGGAGTATATATTTCTGTTAGGCAACAGAACAGTAACCACTATGGAGTTCCTATAAAGACTGGCAGAATTGTTGTCCCATTCCCTGGGCTCGGTTTACTCTGCTCAGACCTGCTGGGAACTGGACTCTGATTAAGGAGTCAGGAGTTTACACCATTAGTGGTTAAGTGGCCTTGACATTTGGACTCTCATTTGGTTTTCTTCATCCCTTTCTGCTTACCTAGGAGTCAAATGACGGAATTCTTTCTGTGTGACCCATTCAGCCTCCAGACCACCTTCTCTATCAAATCTTTAATGTTTAGATGAACACATAATATGTACTTGGGAGTCTCCACATCAGATGGAGTGAGTTTTCCTGGGTCTATGTGGGGTGCATATCTTCCCATGAGAAGCTGAGCCCATAAGGTGGGTGCCTTGAGGAAACCAAACGCTGTACAGTGTCTCTGAGTCTCTGTTTTCTTGGGTCGTTTTTTTTTTCCCTCAGGAGAAACTTCAACCCTACATAAGTACTGTTTATTATAATGGAAATTATTCTTAAACTACTTTTCATTGAGGCTACAAATTATTTCACATAATTATGTGAATTTTGACATGTGCATGTGCTTTTTGTGGGTGGATCTTTGCATGTTATCAAAATTCTCTGAAGAAATACCTCTGTGAACACATGTCTACAGGAGCATACACACACAAACCAGCTGGGGCATTTGCCGAAATGTAGTAGCTGGTAAGGGCTGGGGATTATTGATGTTTTTGTGGCATGAAGAACAGTGATAGGTGATGTCAGCTGACTCAATACATGAAAGATCACATTTGTGATCTGAAAGACTCAAAAGGATAACCAACCTGATAGGTTGAAGATAACATCACCTCTCTCATCTGAATGACCATTGTCCCGTGACTGAATGTTAACACTGAGAATGGATAACTGAGACACAAATCAGGATGCCAGAATTTCAAGTGACCCACCACTCCTGTATTGAAACGTTGAGCCACTCTGCCTCTTCCTGGCAACTGGACATAGCAGCTGTCTCTTAGTCATTTTGAGCTTCCATCAAGGAAGCTTGCCTTTTCCAGTTAGAAGCCTTGTAGAAATCATAGATGCATAAAAAGCTGCAACATAAGGATACCCTAGGAAATCTTTGGAAATTATGTAGCTACAGGCAGGGCCTAGGGATTTGGTATTTTCTTATTGTTTTCTGAAATGAACACTGCTTATGTTCTGTCTGACAAACACTATTTTTCTTGGGCTGTTAAGTTAAAGAGTAGAAGGAACCATGGGTGCCTGGATGTGTCACTCAATTGAGCATCCAGCTTCAGCTCAGGTCCTGATCTCACGGTTTGAGCCGTGGGGTTTGAGCCCCACTTTGGGCTCTGTGTTGACAGCTTGGAGCCTGGAGCCTGATTTGTGTTCTGTGTCTCTCTTCCCCTACCCCAATCCCACTCTCTCTCTCAAAAATAAATAAAACATAATAATAATAATAATAATAATAATAATACAGATAAAAGGAACCGGGAATAGGAAGCTAACTATCTGAGACCCAATTCAGGTATCTGTCTTATTACTTTAAGATGTCTGCCTTCTCCACTCTGCCTCGGATATCATTATTTTAGGACAAATATAAGGAGCTCTGTCCCAGAAATTGTATCTTAATGCTTCTATCCAATTTCCTTTCACAAATAAGCTTCCATGTTGTCTTTTGTTTGCCTGAAAATTGCACAAACTGATTTTAATACTTTTTGCCAACAATGGAAACAGCACAAAACAAATGATATTTGATAAATATTAAAACATAGCTTATTAGCTGTCACCCGAGGGTGTTACTATGACTCTCTATGCAAGTGCCAGGATGCACTTGCTAATTCACAGTCCTGTTTGGCTTGTCCTACCTCAGGGCATTTGCACTTGTCATTCTTCTCTGCATGGGTCTTTCCCAGTCCTGAATGACTGCCACTCTCATTTCTCTTTCTCAGAACCATGTTCTCTGAGCACATGTTTCTAAATCAACTTTTGTTTCTAACAATATTTTCAGATTTATTCAGTTCTTTCATCTATAGAACTGCACCTACAGTTTAAGGAGGGGAACCTCCTGTATCTGTTTTTGTATTTTTTTTTTCCTCTAGAAATCTTTGTAAGCTTTCATTCCTGTATAATTTATCAATCTTCTGGGTCTTGCATCCATATGTCTGAGACACCACTGCCCCTGGCATTCTGCAGAATGGGTGCTGTGTTAGCAGGCATGAAAACTAAGTAATCTTACTGTCCATTTCCATGACAGCTCCTGGGTGACCAGGTGCATTGTCAGTGAGCAGTGATATTTTTGAAAAGAAGGTTTTGTTTTGTTTTGGTTTGGTTTCTGAGCTCTTGGTCTCAACAGTGGGCTCAAAATACTCAGCAAACCACATTCTGAACAGATGTGCTATCATCTAGCCTTTGTTATTCCGTTGATGGAGCACAGACAGGGTAGATCTATATCATCCCTAAGAGCCCCAGGATTTTCAGGATGGTACACGGGCATTGGCTTCAGCTCAGTCACCAGCTGCATTAGCTCCTACCAAGAGTCAATTTTGAGGCAACCACTGACTTCTCCCTGGTGTTGAAAGTCCTGGATGATATCTTCTTCCAGCAGAAGGCTTCCAGTAGATTCTCCAACTTAAAAGCAGTGGTCAGTGTAGCCACTTGCATGAATTGTCTCAGCTGGGTCCTCTGGATAACTGGCTGCAGCTTCTGCATCAGCACTTGATGTCTCACCTTGCAGTTTTATGTTATGGAGACGACTTCTGTCCTTAACTCCCACCAACCATCCTCTACTCACTTCAGACGGCTTCTGAAGCTTCCTCAACTCCCTCAGCCTTCAGAGAATTGAAGAGAGTCAGGGCCTTGCTCTGAATTAGGCTTTGCTTTACGAGGATGTTGATCTATCCAGACCTCAAACCTTCTCCATATCTGCAATAGGTCTGCCTCAATTCACTTTTTTTTTAATGTTTATTTATTGTTGAGATAGAGACCAATCACGAGCAGAGGAGGGGCAGAGAGACACACACACATGCTCTGAGCTGTCAGCACAGAGCCCGACGTGGGGCTGGATCCCACAAACTGTGAGGTCATGACCTGAGCCGAAGTCAGACGTCCAACCGACTGAGCCACCCAGGCGCCCCTTACTTCACATTCTTACCACCCGTTCACTGGAGTAGCACTTTTAATTTCCTTCAAGGACTCTTCTTTTGCGTTCACAGCTCGGCTGACTGTTTGACACAAGAGACCTAGCTTTCATCTGATCTCTGCTTTCAGCATGCCTTCCTCATGAAGCTTATTAATTTTAGCTCTTGATTTAATGTGAGAGACCTGTAACACTTGGGAGGCCAGTGTAGACTTATTAATTGGCCTGATATCAGTATTACCAAACTGTGACACAGAGATAACAACATGAGCAATTGCTTTAAGAAAACTGGCACTGATCAACATTGCCACACACCTTTGTAGAAAGCAGTATCTGTAAAGCACAACAAGACACGGTGTGCCTGCCTGTGGTCAGACTGTAAGGGAAAGAAGTTCTGTATCCTTGTAGGCCCAGGCCTTCAAACCCCCCTATACTTCATCTCCAGAAGGGCAAATGAAGTGCAGAGCTGACCCTTCATCTTCTCCAAGTCAGATTTACTTGACATCTTACTGACTGCCATGCTCTACACGCTTCAAAATATGATAGGCTTCATGAATAAATTATGAGCTCTTGGTCTCAACAGAGCTCAATTTATTCTCATGAATAAATTATTAAATGAACTTTTAATGTTCATTTTCCCATAAATAGGATGTGTTTCAACTAATTTTGAATAATATGAAAAAGTATATACATCTTAGGACCTGTCTTCATATACCAAAGAATAAATTACTGAGGAAAAACCAGGCAATATATTTTCATTTCAGGCACAGGCGTTTGGTTCCAAAAAGAACACTTTGTCTTTTTTCTTCTTCTTAATGTGTTTGTATCAAATATAAAAATGAACCTAGAGTAACTCTCAGAAGGGAGCATTATTTTTACAGCAGACATTTAAGGTAACCAAGTTCTCATTTCCTGGTTCTCTGACACATTCCCACTTGCCAGCCTCGACACACTGCACCATCCTTGCGGCAGTGAGAAAGGAGTGTCTGCGGTAGGAGACTGTGGACACGGCTTGTGCCAGGCAGAGAGTGGAGCTCTGTTACAGAGTAAAAAGGATACGTTATCAGATCCTGGGTTGTGTAATGCCTCATTTAGGAGAGATCATTTTAGAAATTGTTTTAAAAAAAGAAAACTTTTGGAACAGAATCATAAAGGGTATCATATCTTTTTGGAAAACTTGTGGAAAATACAAGTATTTTAGTTAATTTCTTAAACACTTATTTGAGCAAAGCTTTAGAAATCCTCATGGAGAAGGTAGGAATACTATTAGAGACTTCCCCCCCCCCCCCCCCCCCCCCCCCGCCCATGGTAACAGAACTTATATAAAATTGCTGAGAGAAGCCAAACCTATTGTGCCTCAGGAGCTGAGAGCAGACTACAGTCAGGTGAGTTGGGTGAGTTGGGACAGGGAGGCAGGCTAGTGGATTTCTGAAGATGGTGGCAGGTCTAAAGATCCTACCTGTAAGGCCAGTGAGAAAACAGGGAAGAAATTAAAGCCGGAGAGTGTTTATGATAAACTTGTGTTTGTAAGTGATGTCAGCCTCACCCAGCAGCCTCTGGGGAGGGACGTGGTTCCTGGAGGTTGAGCTCTATAAACACTCTTGAACACCCAGGTTTGGAGTTTGGAGACCAACCTCTGGGCTGGTGAGAGCTTCCATCTGCTGCCACCTCCATGGGGATGGCGGGACCTTGCACTCTGGGGGGACCCTTCTGGACCTCACCCCGTGTACCTCTTCCTCTGGCTGTTCATCCTTAAAATAAACCAGTAAAACCAAGTAAAGTGTTATCCTAAATTCAGGAGTCAGTCTAGAAAATTACCAAACCTAATTTGAGCGGTTGTGGGAACCCTAGACTCTCTGGTGCTCTCAGCAGAAATGTGGACAGCCTGGGCACTACATTTGTGGCTGGCATCGGAAGTAGAGGAAGTCCCATGGGGCTAAGACTTTGATCTTGCGGGGTCTGATGCTGACTCCAGGATGATGGTGTCAGAATTGAACTGAATCCTTGGACACTCAGGCAGTGTCAGGGAATTAGTTGTTGGTGTGAAGAAAACTCCTCAAACAAATATTTAGATTTTGAGAAATCTATGACTGTTGTGTTTTATAGGGTGTTGGTCATTTAGAGGGTTAAAGAAATGGACGTAAAAGTAAGGTAAGGCAGAACTAACAATATATGTTTTTTTAATCTCTTATTATTGAGCACGAGCCACGCAACCAGGCCTTGGGATAGTTCCTGCGTATGCAGTTGGTATAAAACTGCATTAAAAAATTTTTTTTTTCCTGAGAGAGAGAGAGAGAGAGAGAGAGAGAGCGTGAGCAAGGGAGGGTTAGAGAGAGAAGGAGACACAGACTCTGAAGCAGGCTCCAAGCTCTGAGCTAGCTGTCAGCACAGAACCCGATCGGGGCTCAAACCCACAAACTGTGAGATCATGACCTGAGCCAGAATCGAGCGCTTAACTGACTGAGCCACCCAGGTGCCCCTTTCTTAATATTTTTTAATGTTTTATTTATTTTTGAGAGAGAGATAGAGACAGTGTGAGCGGGGAAGGGTCAGAGAGAGACGGAGACACAGAATCAGAAGACAGGCTCCAGGCTCTGAGCTGGCTGTCAGCACAGAGCCTACGCGGGGCTGGAACCTATGAACCATGACATCATGACCTGAGCTGAAGTCAGACGCTTAGCCGACTGAGCCACCCAGGCGCCCCTAAAACTGCATTTTTTTTTCCTCGATGCATGCAGAAAGGATACATGGGGATTGAGGTAGGCAGTTAAAGGGCTGGAATCAGGGGTTGATAGACTTCAAGTGGTGTCAGTGGAATGTAGGTCTCCAGGTGTGGAGAGCGTGGGCATGGGGAATGATTCTGTGGGCAAACTGAAAGACAGAGGCTGTGGTTGCTGGAGGGATCTAGGATTCTTCATCGGACGGGGGGCAATCCTGGTAAGACCTGGCAGGAGGCTGTACCCCTTAAGAGGACCATGTTTAGAAATCTGCGTTTGGGAAACAACAGAATTGAAATACTACCTGTGTCATTCCTTAGCCATGTAATTTTCTCCTATTTCTAAAGCCTTTTTTTTTTTTTAAATATTTTTATTTATTTCTAGGAGAGAGAGAGGGAGACAGCGTGAGCAGGGGAGGGTCAGAGAGAGAGGGAGATAGAGACTCTGAAATAGGTTCCAGGCTCTGCAGTCAGCACAGAGCCCGACGTGGGGATCGAACCCACGAACTGCGAGATCATGACCTAAGCGAAAGTCGGACACTTAACCGACTAAGCCACCCAGGCGCCCCTCCTATTTCTAAAGCTTTCTGAAACTGTCATTCGTGTATATAATTCTGGGCTGCAGTAATAAAATACCACAGACTTGGTGGCTTCAGCAACCCACATTTGTTTTTCACAGTTCTGGAGCCTGGAACTCCCAGGACCAAGGTGTCAGCAGACTCAGTACTCACTGATGGACCGGTTCCTGGCTTGCAGGAGCCTGCCTTCTCAATGTGTCCCAACATGGTAGAGACAGAGAGAGAGCTGTGGTCTGTTCCTCTTAGAATGATTCCAGTCCTTTCACGGGGGACCTCTTCTCATGACCTCATCTAAACCTAATTACCTCCCAAATGCCCCCCCTCTGCATACCATCATATAGGGAATTAGGGCTTTGACATATGGATTTGGGTGGGGGTGGAGGGGACACAGGCATTCAGTCCATAACAGTGACTGTACTGAGATCAGCAGAGTCTTTGTGAGGATTAACTCAGTGAATGTTTTTAAGTTTCCAAGCAGAGTCCTGTTTATTAAACTTTGATTTTGTCTTCTTATTTTCTGGACGCTAGGTGTAAGGAGGTGAGTTACATCTACTACTTTTGGTGATGTAATGTCATTTTTTCATGGAGTACATTTAGGTACCAACAAAATTTTGGTAAGAACTCAAAGTTTACCAGTATGTTTCAGTATAAGATTTATGAAACGCTATGGTGTCATTTGTGGTAATGACTAATATAGGACAATAATCCAGTTACAACTTTACGAAAATGTCAGATAGAACAGATCTATTTCCTTGCAAAACTTCCGCACTATACATTTTCTAAGTCAGGGACTTTTAGGGTGGGGGATCAGGGAGGGAATTAAATAACCCTATGAAAAAGTTGCTAGTTAACGTAAAATAGTAATTTTCATTTCCTTGTCTGAAAATAAAAAAGAACATTCCTATTTTATTGACCACCAACAGTAGCCAAAGCCTTGTCACTTCTGATCCAAGCGGAAGTGAGAGCTCCACCACCTCTCTCAGTGCATGTGGTGTGTTCTTGTAGGGGGAGCTGGGGGGTTGCATGCAGGCACATCAGGGATTCGTGATCGGGGGTCTGGGAATTGTGCGTAAGACTGGAGTCTCTTGGCTTCTCTCTCCTTGCCCAGCTTTTCCTGCATATGGTTGGCACTCTCTGAGTGGAAATCCAGAGGAAGAGACGCGGTGGCCGAACCCTTGATGATGCAACTGCAGGTGAGTGGATATGTGATCCTTCTCCCGAATGAAGCCTCTGTTGCCTGTGGCTGGGAAGGCTTCTCTTGGCCTGAGTCTTCTAAGTGCATCCAGCCAGTATTCAAGGATCTGGGCTCTACTTCATTGCTCCCAGGACGCACGGATGCTATTTTGGTAGGTCAGGGATGGATCGGGAAGTAATCTCCTTCCCCTTATTTACAGCAGTGCATCTCATTCTCCATTAAAAATGTCCTTGCAGGAAAGAAATGTGCAGAGTTTTCTTTCCTTATCCGTTGTATGGACTTGGTTGGGAAATTATTTACCCATGGGCCTTAGTAGTTGGTGCAGTGGGCCTAGCACGTGGTCCCAGGTGCTAGAGATGAGCAGGACCAGCAGTTTACAGTCCACTGAGGGGGCAGGCATTCCAGCCAATTAGCTCTACAGTTTTCCAGAGAACACAAGAAACATTTGTGTATGAGAAGAAATCAGTATCATTTATTTCCCCCTTAGTTTTAAGCTTACTAAATGTTTGGAAACATATAGTTGACTAATTTGGAAACTCCCAAAGGTGACTAAATCCTCTTTACTACCCTTATCCCATTTCACCCACTTTTCCTCTTTGTAAGCGAAGTTTGATAAAATTGGAAATCTGAAAACAATGCCTAGGGAGTATTTTTTAAATTAACTCTGCATCTGCCTGAATGTATATAGAAATTAGAGTACAACTTAGAATCCTGTTGCAATTTTGGAAGGACTAATAGATGCTAGAATTAATCAAGAGGATTCTGTTGCCTTTGAACCAAAAAACAGGATTAATAGGGGCGCCTGGGTGGCTTAGTCGGTTAAGCGTCCGACTTTCGCTTAGGTCATGATCTCACGGTTCGTGGGTTCGAGCCCCGAGTCGGGCTCTGTGTTGACTGCCAGCTCAGAGCCTGGAGCCTGTTTCGGTCTGTGACTCCCTCTCTCTCTGACCCTCCCCTGCTCACGCTGTCTCTCTCTCTCTCCTAGAAATAAATAAAACATTAAAAAAAAAAAAAAAACAGGATTAATATATGGAGGATTGATGCAGTGATCATTGGTGTTAAGAATGGAGAGCTCACTGCAGGAGAGATCACTGTGGGGCTATCCTTCCAACGAGCCATCTCAGGAGCCCCTAACCGGACCGCAGGACCTGTCTGCCATGATATCTTATAAAGAACAAGTGAGTTTTTAGATGAGAGGTGCCACTTGGTGACCCCAAGTTCTGCATACAAGTTGTTCATCCTACAGACTGCTGGGCATTGCCTCATAGTTCTCTATCTTTGATATTAGTATACCTATCACTTGTACATATGAAGTGTTTGCTGTAAAAGAAGCATCAGCACATTAGCTCATTGGAATTCTCAATACCACTGTTTTTTTAGTAATTTCTACAGCAAACATGGGGCTCAAACTCATGATCCTGAGGCCGGGAGCCACTTGCTTCCAACCGAGCTAGCCAGGTGTTTCTAATACTACTATTTAACCCTTTAACCCAGGTTTATAACGCCAACCAGGAAATCAAACTATATCAGCTTATTGGAAAGTTGCCAGGTTATTTCATATTGAGATTTCATTATGATGAAGTAATTACGTGTATTTCCTTTTTAATGGGTCTGAGGACAGAAGGCAGATCCTAATGGGAGCACATTTGATATGTACCACAATTGAGCTTGAGCTTTCTATATATGCAGCTCCCCCCTCTGTTTTCACTATCTTGTTGACAGTTGTCCCCTAGGTATTGTTCAGCCTAGCCCCCCTTAATCATTTTCTGATATATTAGGATTCTGTGACCTACAAAGATATAGCTGTAGACTTTACCCAGGAAGAATGGGCCCTGATGGATTTATCTCAGAGAACGCTGTACAGAGATTTGATGCTGGAGAACATTAGTCATCTGGTCTCTCTGGGTGAGTCTGTCACCATCCATTCATTCATCCATCCTTACATCCATCTTTTTATTTATTAACCTTGTTCCAGGATAGCTTCCACATATTCTAATACAGCTGTCTGCTCTAACTCATATTCTTTTGTAGCATTTCCAACTACTAGATAAATTTGTATCGTTCTTTCATCATGTGCGTTACATGATAATTTGAATATAGTCTTGGACACAAGTGTGTATCTACTGTACGTTTTCCAAGACCCAGAACAATGCTGGTAATACAGTGAATGTTTTTTGAATGAATAAATAAACATCCTGAATATTTTCTGTCCTGGGCAGTATGGTGAGGCATGAGCATACTAGAAAATATAACATCTTGTATCACTTTCCACATAAATTCCACGATATATTGTTGTGGAGCTTATGTTCATTGTATTCCTTTGAAAGTAATGTTCACCCCATGTGAGAACATTTCCTTCCTTCTAGATGCAAACACTAAGCCTCTTGCACTCTCGCAGCTTGGGCAAGAACATCAGCAATTAGAGATCTTAGTGTATCGGGTGCAGTGTTTGGCTGAGAACTTTTTCCCATGTTTTTAGTTTTCAAGGTGTTACTCTCTGGGCTGTTCTTCAATGCTCACCTTGTTCTTCTTCAGTAGCCTGTACAGTAGAGTTTCAGGCACTGTTCTCGGCAAGAAATTGCAAATTCACATACCATTCTCCATTGATATAGGGTGTCCTTTCTTCAGATCAGATGTGATCTCCCAGTCAGAACACAGAGGGGAGCTGTGGAGGGAAGAAAGAGGACCTCCTCAAGGCTGGAGTCCAGGTGAGCTGCAGACATGTACTCAGTGTGAGAAGAATAGTGAGTAAGCAGGGTCTTACTGATGTCCGTGCAGATTTCCTTGAGTGAACGACAGCTTCAGGAACTGTGAGTGGCCAGTCAGATAACATTCCTCAGATTGTGTCATTATTTGGCCCATGTCCGTTTCTCTTCATGTGCCTGTACTTACATTTGACCTCAGAAAAGCAATGTCCTGTCCTCGTTGAAGGTCAAATTTCACATTGTGGGCTTTGTCATGATTTCTGGTCTCTTTCTTTTAGGATTTCCACTCTGATATTCTCTACAACAGCCCATCATTATATTATTTTTTCTCTTAACTTAAACATGGAGTTTTGTCCTAATGATATTATCCAAAATGTATGTCTTCACCAGTATTTTCCTCAATTTCACATCATTTGGTCATGTGTGCTTACCTGGTCTCGTGAGCTTTTCAACACTTTAATTCCCTACTCAAGGTGTTCTTAGGTTTATTTCTTTTTTTTTTTCTTCAATTATTTTAGGTACGAAAAATAGCCATAATAAGCAAGAAATAATACCTATGCAAGATATCTGCACGAAGGACCCACCTAACTGCTGGACAGTAGTAAGTGTCATGAAGACAAACCTTGCCTATCCGTGTTCAAGGCCTGGGAAGAGCCTAAGTCATCAATTGAGGAGAATCACATAACAGTTGTTAGAGTTTGCTATAAGTACCTTCTCACAGAATGTGATTGAAAATTTAAATCTGGGGAAGATACTAGCTTGGATTTGAGCTATAACTGTTCTGATAAATGGATAATTTCATAAGTATGGTTTATTGGCATGACATATAATGAAATCTTCTAAAACAGTCAGCCCTCCAGTAAAGATGCTTCTAAGTGTAAATATGTTTGTGCATGCTGGAGATGAACACCCCATGTACATGTAAGTGATCTAGGAAAGGTTTTATTTGGAAGGGTCATCCTGGAATTCATAGGTAGAGAACAGGATGCATAGATGTTCAGGAGAAGTCCTGTAACAGTCTTCTATCTCTTTCCCAAAAGCAGAGATATCACCCAAGAGAAGACCTCTCTGTATATAGTGGGTATGATGAAGTTTTCACTCGCGTCTACACAATGACTCAGTATGTCTTAAGTCACACTGGACAGAAACTGTATAAATGCAATGAATGTGGAAAACACTTCACCCGAAATGCCAACCTTCATACCCATAAAATAAGTCACACAGGAGAGAATCCATTTGCTTGTAATCAGTGTGGGAGGCGCTTCAGGTACTTTTCATCTTTAACTAGACATAACCGAATTCATACTGGAGAGAAGCCTTATGAATGTCATCTATGTGGGAAAGCATTTGTTCGTAGTTCCCTGAAACAACATCAGAGAACTCACACTGGAGAGAAACCATATTCCTGTCAACTATGTGGAAAAGGCTTCGTGACAAAGTCTAATCTTCGAGAACATGAGAGAACTCACAGTGGAGAGAAACCATATAAATGTCATCTATGTGGAAAAGCCTTTGTTCAAAGCTCTTGTCTTAGAAAACACGAGAAAACTCACACTGGCGAGAAACCATATAAATGTCATCTCTGTGGAAAATCCTTTGTTCAAAACTCTTATCTTCGAGAACACGAGAGAACTCACACTGGAGAGAAACCATATAAATGTCATCTATGTGGAAAAGCCTTTGTTCGAAGCTCTTGTCTTAGAAGACATGAGAGAATTCACACTGGAGAGGAACCATATCATTGTCATTTATGTGGAAAAGCCTTTGTTACACGCTCTGATTTTAAAAAACACATTAAAACTCACATTGGTGAAAAACCATATACGTGTCATCAGTGTGGAAAAGCTTTTGATCATCGCTCATGTCTTAGAAGACACGAGAAAACTCACACTGGCGAGAAACCATATACATGTCATCTATGTGGAAAAGCTTTTGTTCAAAGCTCTAATCTTCGAAAACATGAGAGAACACACTGGTGAGAAACCATATCAATGTCATCTATTTGAAAAAGCCTTTGTTCAAAGCTCCTGTCTTAGAAACCACGAGAAACTACACTAGACAGAAACCATAAGTATGTCATCTATGTGGAAAAGCCTTTGTTACAAGCGCTGATCTCAGAGACCACTAGGGAACTCACTCTAACTCTAGTGAATGAACATCAAAGTGCCTTCAGCCACAGCACTAATGTGAAACCAGCTAGAGGACTCAGGTGGGGGAAGTTCCATGGCCATATTCATTATGGAAATGCCTTCATTTTTAGCTTCTCCTTACACAACATGAGTGAACTGCATTTGGAGGAACCCTATATTTATAATCAAAGGGGAAGAGACAGCTGGCCTCTCATGATAGGGTGCACAAGAAAATCAAGTATGAATAATAATCTAATGTCCTTAACTGGGAAATTACACAGGAAAATCTTTACAGAAGGATGTCACTCTAGGAGAATAACAGAAAAGTTAATGCTAGAGAACTTATTCATTGTTATATGCCTGGAGAAAACGTTGACTAGTAAAAAAAACTACGGTAGGCATGTGAAGTTTCACACTCTATGTAATAGTGAATGAATAGAAGTCTTCAGAGATTTATAATTCCTTAGCTAACATGTAGTTTCTTGCACTGTATATATACCATTGCTAAATTCAGATGAAAGGTTACTTTGCATTAGAAATCCCTGACTAGGAAAAACATTTATCAAGATGTCTTAATACAGTTTAGACATTATTTTGTAATTTTACCTAATGACCTATTATTATAAAAATGTAAGGAAGATATATAGGACTATGATATCATCTGGAAATTCTAAATTCAGAATTTTGTAACTGATTTTTTTTTTTTTTGGAGTAGTACTTGGAACTGCATATGAAGTAAAGTTGTTGCTAAAAAGTCCATGATGTTGGTCAGGGCCTATTTTTCATGCAGCAGTAGTAATTATGATGATTGGATTCAACTAAAAAGTATCTTTGAATATTAAAATGAAAAACAAAACACAAGATGATGCGTCATTACTGCATATTGTTAACCATGTGCGTGGGTCATAATGATGAATTAAAGATTGTTTCGTAGGTATTGTGACTGAATTCTGTATAAATTTTCATTTTAAAATGCCAGTATTGAGACAGTGGCGGGTATTACATAACCATAAGGGTGTCCATTCAACAAGAGGATATAACATCTGTAAATATTTATGCACTCAACATAGGAGCACCTACATATATAAAACAAATTTGAACAGATGTAAAGGGAGAGACAGGTATGCAATAGAAGGGGCACATTAATACACACTTTCATCAATGAATGAATCATTCAGACTAAATCAGAAAACATGAACTGTCAGTGACAGATTAGATGAGATGGCCTTCACAGAGGTACACCACACACTTCATCCAAAAGCAGCAGAATAACACAGTCTTCGCAGAATTGTGACATTCTCCAGAATTGGTCATAGTTAGTACCAATGGGTAATTTTTCTCTTATCTAAGCCATGTAATTCTCCCTCTTCCTATCTGAAAACCCCCCTGCTTTCACTCCACAGATGGAACACTTTTCTGGTTACTGCTGGAATCGATGCTTCCCAAACTGCAATTCTTTAATCCTAAACAAACACTCATCTGCCTCTTGTTGCAGCTCTTGTTTTCAGGTTGGCAGAGGGGACAAGAAACGTTTCTTTTCCTTTCTTGGTCAGGCACTACAGAGCGAGGTCTAGCAGAGCTGACTTTGGAAGGAAGACTAACCCTTTTCTGGCTCTCCCAGTCTTCAGAATCCCATCTGCAGCTCCCAAGTATTTATTTTTGAGAGGGAGAGAAAAAGAGAACATAAGCAGGAGAGGGATGGAGGCGGGGCGGGGGGAGGGAGATCTAAGTAGGCTCTGTGCTGTCCCTGCAGGGCCCAATGGAGGGCTCAAACTCACGAACCATGAGATCATGACCTGAGCCGAAGTCAGTCACCTAACTGACCCATCCAGGTACCCCTAAAATGGCACATTCTTTGTTATGTTTATTTTACCACAATTATTTAAAAAAATAGAACTACTCTATGATCAGGCAATTGCATAATTAGGTATTTACCCAAAGGATACAAAAATACAGATTCAGAGGGGGACATGCACCCCGATGTTTATAGCAGTATTCTCAACAATGACCAAGCGATGGAAAGAGCCAAAATGTCCACTGACTGATGAATGGATAAAGACAATGTGGTATATATATATATTGGAATGTTACTTGGTGATCAAAAAGAACCATATCTTGCCATTTGCAACAGCGTGGATGGAACTAGAATGTATGATGCTAAGTGAAATAAGTCAATCAAGAAAGACAAGTACCACATGCTTTCACTCATATGTAGAACTTAAGAAATAAAACAGATGAACATATGGGAAGGGGGGGAAGAGAAGAGAGGGAAATAAACCACAAGAGACACTTAACAACAGAAAACAAACTAAAAGTTGATGGAGGAAGCTGGGTTAGATGGGTTGTGGACATTAAGGAGGACACCGGTGGGGCGCCTGGGTAGCTCAGCCGGTTAGGTGTCCGACTTTAGCTCGGGTCATGATCTTACAGTCAATGAATACGAGCCTCAAGTTGGGCTCTGTACTGACAGCTCAGAGCCTGGAGCCTGGTTCAGATTCTGTGTTTCCCTCTGCCCCTCCACAACTCACATGCTGTCTCTCTCTTGTCTCTCAAAGATGAATACACATTAAAAAAAATTTAAACAAAAAAAGAGGACACTTGTGATGAGCACTGGGTGTTGGTTGTATGTGACAAATCACTGAATTCTACTCCTGAAACCAATATTGTTATCTAAAATGCAAATTTAAAAAAGAAAAGAAAAAGGAAATAATTTGGCACTACATATTAAAGTAAAACATGTACATACTCTGACCTTCAGTTATACACAACCACAAGAACACACGTACTAGGACACACAAACATGGACATTCTTAGCCACAAAGAGACAAAATCTGAAACCAATCTGAATGCCATCAGAAACAGAATGGAGGGGTGCCTGGGGGGCTCAGTCCATTGAGCTCTGACTCTCAATTTTGGCTCAGGTCATGATCCCAGGGTGGTGGGCCCAAGCTCTGTGATGAGTGTGGAGCCTGCTTGGGATTCTCTCTCCACCTGTCTCCCAAGTTGCATGTTCTCACTCTCTAAAAACAAAAACAAAGAAAGCAGAATGGAGACAGGAACTAAGCATATGTATACGTGATGGAATATTCCACAGCAATAAAATAAATTTTTACTTAACATTAAAACTCATAGCTTATTTTAAAAATTGTATCTACACTATGGAAGAATGTCACAGACACCGCACTGAGCCAACAAGAGGGACAAATCAGACTGCACTAGTGCCTCCCACATAAACAGGTGAACCTAGGCAGAGCTGGGCCACATCATTTATGGGTGCATATGTGGGGCACACCACAAGCACCACAATATTGTCGCCACCAAATTCAGGACAATAGTTATGGCACGGAGGAACTTAAGAGGGCAGTGCACCTCAGGGCACTTACCGTCTATGCTCTGTTTCTTGACCTGGATGATGGCTCCGTAATTACAATTTTATGATTATATTTTCCACATATAAACAAAATTTCTAACATACAAGGTTATTGTTTGTTTTTTAAAAAGTGGTCTTCCTAAACAAAGTGTTAGAAATAGGATGGCTTCTACCAGTAATCGTAAGGCCTTGGCTGCTTCAACCCTCAAGTATGACAGCAAACCCCCCATACTTGGGGATACAGGGCAATGATGCTCAGAAGGAAGCTCCCATGACCTCAGGCCCTGAGTCAGTCCCAGACTCCACGGAGCCCACCACACCTGGTCAAACTTCTCAGTCATTTTGTGCATCGCAATCTTGCCTTGGTTGCTCTGCTATGTTTGGCTGCCACCACCCCTGGGAGGGAAAGAAGAAATGTACTTGAGAAAGAAGGGCTGTTCAAGCCGCCTCACCTTCCCTGGGGGGTGATGTCTTGTCTCTAAGGGAGGATGGCAACGCCACAGAATCTAGCCTTGCTGGCTCAGGTCTGCACATGCTCTGGCCCCATGTGTTTCATGCTGCAGGGATTCTGTAAGGACCCTCAGCAGCCCAGGCAGATCCTGCCACATTTACAACTCCTGTGACAGATTCTGGATGTGGCACTGGAATCCCCTAGCTGTTTCTTCCTGATAACAATTTTATTAAGATATACTTTACATACCAGACAATCAGCTCACCTAAAATATAAACCTCAGGGGCATCTGTGTGGCTCAGTCGGTGAAGCGTGCAACTCTTGATCTCTTGATCTCGGGGTTGTGAGTTGAGCCCCATGCTGGGTGTAGAGATAACTTTAAAAAAATAAACTTTAAAAAAAATAATGAAAAAATAAAAATTACAAAACTCTAAACCTCAGTGTTGTTTCGTAGAGTCACAGAGTGGTACAACCATTGCCACAGTCCAAATCCCCATTATCCTACCCTTAGGTGGCCACCTCTCATTCCCCAGCCCCCAGGAACCACTGGGGTGCTTTCCATCTGTGGACCTGACTGTCCTGAACATTTCATGGCCTCTTAGTTCTGGTTTCTCTTACTTAGCACACGTGTCCACCCTATTCCTGTTTATAGCTGAATACTATGCACCCTCTCTGCTTCTAATTTATACGGAAGCAGGGCTCCCAGCCCTCATTCCACATGACTGGTGAGAAATGCACTTCCCATCGTCCTGGGAGAAACACTTGGCACTGTTACCCCCAGGCCTCTGTGTGGAGGCTGAAAGCCCAACCGCCCACCTCGGCTCCAGTGATGTCCTGTGTGGACTGGAGCCCCAGTAGGAAGGCTGCGATGGTCAAGCAAGTATAGACGTGCAGCACCCTACAGTTCCCTAAGAAACCAGCTGGCTGGTCAGCATGCTGTCGGAGCAGCTGTACAGGGACATGGAGCCGTCTGTCGGGGACCACAGCGCTGCCCTCCATTGAGACCCACCCACAGCAGCTCCCAAGTGTGAAAGTGCTGAGGCTCCAGAAGAGGGTCCTTCCTGATTCTTCTAGCTTCTGGGGGCTCCAAGTATCCCTTGGCTGTGTCGCTTCCATCACTGTCTGTCTTTAAATGGCTTTTCCTCTTCCTACAAGGACATAAGTCACACAGGGCCACCCTAATGACTCCTATTACTTACTTACATCTGCAAAAGTTCTCCTGAATAAGCTCACATCTTGGGGTCCTAGGGTGTACCTCTGGGGGCACAATTTGCCCTTCACTCTGAAATAACAGATACTGGCTCAGAAAAGCAGCAAGTTCTCCTGCTTAAACCCACCCCTAGAAAAGGTCCTACCTGCCCAGTCTCTTCAAATCCCACATGGGCAGGACAGTCAGGCCCCGCAGGCCCATCTGTGAAGGACACACAGAAGTCTGCTTATTTCCCCTTGGCCTGCTGGGTTCAGGTCAGTGTCCCTAGACCTGCACATCCCAGGGTCCAGAGAGCTTCCTCTCCCAAATTCTTTCTGATATGGCAGCTTGAAACTGGCCAGACAGACTCCTCTTGGACTGCACACTTGGCTGGGCCCAGGGCTTCCAGGGGTCTGTGTTCGGTGGGTCCCACAGACAACCCCACGCAAGCCTGCCTGGGGCTTCTGGGGCTCTCAACCACCTGAACACCCTCTAAGGCAGAAGGTACCCGCCTCTACAAAAACGTTTCTGAGCCAACAGTCAATCCCCAAGCTGCTGCCTACCTCCCTGATGGCGCTCCAGGCTCACCAGGAATCCGGGTTCCCAGGCCTGGAGAGACAGAGAGGCCCTGTCTGGCCAAGGCAGTCCATGCTCTTCCAGCTTTACTTTTGCAGGGGGAAAGTAGGCTCATCTATGCAGCACAGAGCTGGGAATCAGGCAGAGGCCTTGGACAGCCAAAGGCCTACCCACAACGCCCTCCACACACTTGTTCTCTCCCAGTCCTTGACCGCCTGCACCTGCACACTAGCCACCCTTTCACCTGTTTTGAGGAAGCCAGGTCTCTCTCTGCCTATGGAGCTCTGCCCACATCCAAACCACCCACATAGCCTCTTGGGCAGTGGGACTCCACCCCTGAGAATTTTTCAGAGGTGGCAGTCCGTCCCCATGCAGCCTGTCTGCCTGCCAGATGGAGTCCCCAGCTTCACCAGAAATCAAGGCCCCCAGGGGTCTTCTGTGGGAGCATACCCCAGCCAGGTGGTGTATTGACAAGGCAGTGCAATTGCTTCTAGCTCAGCCACCAGTGGAGATACGTACGTCCATGTTGGCTAAAGCTTCCAGTGAGACTGATTTCAGGGTCACCCATGACCTGGCATCTTCCCTGTCAAGTCAGCCCAGATTCCTCCACCTCTGCTTCGGGGGTGATACATGCAATTGTCTAGGATGGGGCTTGGATTCTTTAGATGCCACGGGCCACTAAGAGCTTGGTCTCAGGGCTAGGCTCTGCTTATGGCTGTTTCTTTAAGGTCCAGGCCATGCGGGGCTTGTGGCAGCCATGTAGCAGCCATGTGCACTCAGCCCCCATCACTGGCCTCCAAGGCCACCCTGCCAGTCAGAGCCATGCCAGGATGCTGGGATCAGAGAGCCCTCCAGAAGCCTACTCTGGGGCCAGGCTTCTATCTGTGGTCTCCCATCTCAGATCCAAGATTCCCCTCAAGCCTGAGCGGAACTCTGCCCGTGTAGCCAGCCCTCCTGGCTGTAACCAACTCTTCTGGCTGAGCCCCTCTGGGAATGTCAGGCTTGGGCCTGTGCCCCAAACTGCACCACCCAAGGGTGGAGAGGGGTTTGAAAATTATTTCAAAGGTGGCAGCTTCAGGCTGGCACAGACGGATGCCTTTGGAACTGGGTGCCTCATGGATCCCAGGGCTCCTCACACAACCAGTGCTCCCTGATGTCTGTCTTGAGGTCAGAGGGGTCAATCCACAGCCTGCACCAGGGCCCAAACTCTCCCTCCCTCCTATTCGTCTTTTTGGCTCTACACAGTCCCTCAGTCCTGGGCCTCCTATTCATGCTCTGTCAGACATCTCTCATCATAGGTTCCCGATCATCAGGCGCAGCCTAAGGGCGCAGTTAAGCCCCTCACTACTACCTTGCTTTTGTCTGCTGGTAACCTTGTGGGCTGTTGGGCTCATCTTGGTCCCCCAAACCTACATACCACCATGGTCTAGACTGGTTACTCCCTGAAATGCTTTCAAAGCTGGCAGCTTGAAACTGGCCACAGACAGAGCCCTTTTGGACTGGATGCCTGATTGGGCAGAGGGATCCTCTAACACCCAAGGCTCCTGTGGGTCTGTGTTTGGAGGGTCCCTGAGAACACCCCACACCCCCCAGCCTGAACAGAGCTGCCTAGATTCCTCCACCTGTGCCCTCAGGGCGGATATGCTCTGTGGTTCTGATGAATGATTAAGATGAGGTAGCTTTCTCCTGCTCCCAATGGGCCACCCTCAACAGCTGCCTTGTGCCCATCACTGGCTTTGCTGGGTTTTGTGCTCATGGATGCACAGTACAGCACCTATTCCACCACTTGAGGGCAGTGGGGCCAGTTAAGGCCCTCCAGGCCACTGGTGCCGTTCGCTCTGGAACCACCCCAACACCCTACAGGGCAGAAAGAGCCCTCCTACACCAGAGTGCATCTTCGGACCCAGTGTGCACTTGAACTCAGTGGCTGCTAATGGCATGCCTGGCTTAACAGGATTCAAGTCTCCCAGGTGTCATAGTGAAGAATATCTCAGCAGCCACACAGTCCTGTGCAGAAAAGGCAGTCCATACATTTTTAGCAATACATTTTGGGATGAAATGTGTGCCTTTCATATTTCTAACACAGAAATATGAATTAGGGAGATTTGCGGGCCGATACTGAAAAACGTCCACAACATTAACAGTCCCTGTCTATCTGTCCAACCCCCAGGTAGAGGGAGGCCACCCACTGAAAATCTTTCTGAGGCGGCAACCTTCAACTGGCCACAGTCACTCACCCTTTAGACAGGTTACACTCGGAGCTCCCAGGTTCCACCTCGGGCTGGCGCCTGGTCCCAGGGGTGGGCCCCAGCCTGGCAGGGCAAACCCAAGGCCTGTGGGTCTGCCCTAAGGGAGACCAACATGCCCAATTGTGCAGGAAAGGGTTGGAAAAATGCAGATGCTGCCATGAACCCCCAAAGAGTTTCCATCAGTCCCCCAACCTGGCTGGACATTGCCCTGTTCTGGGTTCTGGCTTCTCTGACCTGTCCTACCTGACCCTAAACAGTCACCTGGGAGCTGGCCCCGGATGCCAGGGATGTTCCAGTCCCGTGAAGGTCTGGCCTAAGCTGTCCACCTGCACAGCCTCCAGGGTGAGGGGGCTTGCACTCTGAATGGCTTTTTGAGGCTTCATCTGATACTGTCAGTCCCTTCGGGGATTGGCTGCCTCTGTGGGGACCGGGGCTTCTTCAGCAGTCAAGGTCTCCCAGGTGTCTCTCCTTGCTGGGCTCCTCAAAGTGCCATTTGGCCAGAAGGAGCAAGTATCCCTTCTCTCCTGAGCTGAATGATTCAGTCACTCTTATTTCTAGCCAGAAAACTTACCCAAGCCTTCTATCAATTAGTATAGCGCTAAATTAAAACAACCAACCCATCGACTCCAACCTCTCCTTTAGGTTATTCCCACCTAAAGAACACGACTGGTAACCTTCAACAGCTAGAATAAAAGTCAAGACCCTCAACCTAAATTGAGGAGGTTGGGTTATCAGGAGAACTCACCTGATAAGCCCATGAGGTGCAGAGAAGTTAGAGAGGCACAAAAGGCCCGGGCTGGAATCAAGCACCGTACCCTGGTGACTACAACAAGAAATGTGGATGCAAAGTGAACACACCGTTTAGAATCTCTAGAAGATAGAGTTTTATTCCAGCCCAAGTTAGGACAGCTACCCGGGAAACACACTCTTCACAGGGAAGAAAGGGCTTCAGAGAATGAACAGTTTTTACAGGTTTGTACACTTTTTACACCTTACAGCAGCTCAAAAGATTATAAATGAACACATAGGCAGCATTCACGAGTTTTATCGTGAAGGAATGCAGGGAGTAGGAGTGTTCAGCGGTATCGCAAGTACAAGGTTTTCCTTTAGGCTTCAGGCCGCTCATTCACAAAGCAGATGTACAGGTCATGTGTGGTAGAATCAGACTTAGGGTTTGAACAAAGTTTGTATACAGTTATGTTGACCTAGAAAGCAATCTAAAAAGGTTTCCTTTGTGTATTAGCCCTTTAGAAAGTTTTCCTCTCATCAGCACAGCGATGATACCTTTCACATACCAGATTTAATTCCTACCTTCAGGAAGAAAGAGGAGGGTCTGAATTTCCTAGCATAGACTGTCTCTTAGGTAATTCTTATTTACGGGACGCCTGGGTGGCTCAGTTGAGCATCCGACTCTTGATTTCAGCTCAGGTCATGATCTCATGGTTCATGAGCTTGAACCTACATCAGGCTCTGTGCTGACAGAGTGGAACCTGTTTGGGATTTCCTCTCTCAATCTCTCTCTCTCTCTTTCTCTCTTTCTCTCCCCCTCCCCTGCTCGCACTCTCTCTCAAAATAAACAAACAAAAAAGTAATTTTTACTTAAAATAATCAACATGTCATTGTGGTACCCTTTGGGACAGGCTGCTCGTAGCCCCCACAATATCTGGCCAAGTCCCGCATCCTCCACTAACCCACAGCTGATGTATGATCGTCATGGACGATCTTCAGCAAAACCTATTAGTAGTCATTGTAGTCACAATCCCCCTTAACCCTCCCATCTCTCTTATTTATTTTCTACCCACTGACCCCTGCCTCTGCTCCTCCGCTATAAATTACCAATCGGCAGGCTATATTCAGAGTTGAGTCCAATCTCCCCCTCTGCAATATAAAATCCTATTGTAGAGCTAGCCCCCCACACACTGAAAAAAATATCCGTAACTGTGCTTTAACAAACGTCATTGATTTTTTTCTTAAACAATTACACACTTTGAGACAGCTCTGGGAGTCGCCCCAGGAAAACGTGAAGCTGCAACACCGACGACCTAACAACCCAAAGCGATTCTCGGTGGCACCCACGCTTCTCCCCGGGTCCCGGACCCTCAGTCTCCCGGTGAGCACGCCCTGCTCTGGGCAGCGTCCCGCCGGCTCTCCGCCACCAGCACAGACCCCGCCTGCCCTGCTCGGCCCACTAACCCGCGCCAAGCGCGGCCGCCGGGGTCCCGGGAGGCCCGCGCCCGCAGCCCAGCGTGTCCAGCCAACGGGGGCTGTGCACACACCTGTCACCCTAACGGGGACACATCGGCGCGTTCAGGGCTCTGAGTCTCACCTGGAACTGCCAGAAAGAGTCACTGTGGGTAGGGAGGCAGCACCCGGCTTCCACGGATTCAAACACCCGCGAACTGACTTGAACTGTTAGCCGGCCGGCGCGTGGGCCTGAAGGAGGGATGGGGGCGTGGCCACACCACAAACCGGTCCCGCCCCACGCTGGGCACGTTGAACACAGCGGGGCTGACGTACTCTCCCCGCTCACCTTCCCTCGGCCCTGCCTCGCGCGGCCGGGTCCTGCACCGGCCCCGACCCACCGCTAACGTCCCCTTCTGGTCTTTGCTCTCCCTCCCTAGGCCCGTCCCCCCTCACCCTCCCTAGGCCCGGTCCCTCCTCTCCCCCCCTAGGCCCCGCCCCACGGTGCCCCCGTCCGACACGGTCCTCCGTGACGCCCCGCCCCGCCGTGACGTCCGTCCGCTCTCCGCTCACCCTCCCTAAGCTCCTCCCCACGCTGGTCGAGCCCTGGACCGGCCCCGTCCCTCCACTGTCGCGTCGTCCCCGCTCTCCGCTCACTCTCTCCGGGTGCAGCCCCACGCTCCTCAGACGTCCGGTCCCCACTCCCCACTCTCCCTCTCCAGGCCACGCCCTTCGCGTAATTCCCTACCAACCCGGAAGCGGATTTCCGGAAGAGCAGGTATCGGTCGGTAAGTGAATTCTGGTGTTTGAGGTTTAAACCCGCTCTCCTCAGCCCCTTCCCGGCTCCATTCTCCACACCCGGGGTCCAGGGATTCCTGCCACTTACAGGTCCCTGCCACAGGCCCCGTACTCGCCCGTCAGACCCGCGAAGAGCTCAGCGTTGCCTTGAGGCGCTCAGGACGTCGATCCCTCTGCTCCCTGGTCCTCCGGTCCGTGTCGGTTTCCGGCTGAAGTCGTCCCGAGGCCTCCCACGGAACCCAGTCCTCTTCTGAGACCCTTGCCATCCTCGTCCGCGCGTGGCTGGAGGCACAGTCACCGCCTCAGAGAGGCCCGTGGGCCCCGGCCTGAGGGCAGAGACCGATCCTGTGCTAGGAGCCCCTGTGTACTCCTGTCCCATTGCTGCCCCCGCTCGCTGTGTCTGACAGGGTGTGTTTACACTGTCCACATCCCACTGGAAAGGGAGCTCTTCCTGGGCAGAGATCAGCTGTGATCCCATCCCTTTGAATGTCCAGTTGTGTCCGCAGGATGAGGATACAAGAGACGAGAAGGAGATGGAGGGAGAGTAAGGGAGAGTCAAGTGGAGGATGCGAAGTGGGTGGTTACAATGGACTTTCAAAGGAACAGTGACAGAAAGTGACCTGGGGAGAAAATAGTACAGTGTGTGAAAATAGACAAAAAGATCAGTATGGGTATAGGGACAGAGCATGTAATGAGACTTTGACCAACACTAGCATTGGGGCGATAGAAGGGTAGATTGCAGACTCATTAGATTTCTTTTTAATTTCTAAATTGCTTTCCCTATTAAATTGTTACATTCAGACTATGAGTGCGCAGTGCTTTTCATGACCACCATATACTGAAAGTATTTTGTTGATTAGTAAATAATTTCACAATATTTCTGTGTGCAGTTGTTGGAAATACTGATGATTTTTGTCTTGGCATTCAAAACAAAGTTCAAACAGGTATCCTAATATTCAACAGCCTCCTTTCTTTTCCTCTGTGATCTTTTAATTGTATGGTCTGAGAGCTAAGGTTTCCAACTAAGTGTACGATTTCTTTGAATTCCCTTTTTCCTTCTCCTTTGTTGTTGTTGTTCTTCTTTAACCAAATATTGTGGGATAGGCTGCATGGTCCTGGAACCTTTATTCTAACGTGTCTCATCTTATCATGATACATACGTTGCTCAAAGGTACTTCCATACCTGACCTTGTATATTTCCTAATTATGTGCCAATAATTAGGTCTTCATAATATTACATTTTTTGATGTATTAATATGATGTTCTGGGAAAAAGAAATTAAAACCTGTTAATCAGTATGAGGAAAACCATGAAATAGAGAAGCTGCTCTTGCTCAGGAGAATGAAATATGGGCAGGAATTTTCAGGGGCAGGGGTGAGAAGGGCAAGCCTTACTACTATCAAATGCAAGCCAGCTCATGCATAAAGACAATAATGATTACCCTCCACTGGCCTCTCCTTTTCACATCTCTGCCTCGCCCAAAATACACAGAGCACAGGGCAGCTGGGAAGGGAAAGCCCAGGAATTTTATAAATAATCACGGAACAGAGGTGTCTCTCCAGTGAGGAGGTAATACTTGGTTCTGTGATGGGAAGGGAAAGCACTTGGGGTGTTAATGGATGGGAGGGCACCCGAGAAACTCAGAGACAGGAGAGGAGAAGCCTTCACATCCTCCTTTGGTGATCCTGTGTTCAGCATACCCTGCAGGAGTGCCAGCATTGTGACTTGAATAGGTCACACAGACTCACATTCCCATGGCTCCGAGGTGGCGTGTGGGTGTCACCAGGATACAGGGTATTGTGAAACACAGGGTAACACGTGTTCCTCTCCATTTACAAGTTTATTATCCCTGTTCCCTGGTGGCCTAGTAGAGAGCAGAGGACCGTCTCTTCCACAATCTGATTCCCTCCCCACTTCAGTGCTCGTAGCCCAGGAATGGGGCGAGTTATTCAAAGATCTGATTGGCACATTTTCCAACCTGGAAGAGTTCATTTATCTGAGTACTCCCTCTCCTTCCTGGAACGGTTCTCTTAGGACACACTGATCTCTGCCACTCAGGCGTTCTGCCTGACATATTTCCTCACACCCACAGCTTTCCCTCAGTACTTTCCTGACTCCAGACCAGTTCCATCCCTCTGGGAGCCAGTGACATGGAACTTGTGAAGTGACTCTGTTTAGGGGATCTTTGTGAGAAGTGCTTCATGCCCAGACATCGAGCAGGGAAAGGACTGGATGCCATGGTACCAATGAGGTTTGCTGGTGGGTACTGTGTAAGGACCAAATCCGGGTGTACTGTTAGCTCTTTACACACCAGGATTAAAGAAAGTGCACGCATTAGTAGTGAATCTCAGGAGTACCTGAAAAATCCTGGAAAAGAATACCAATAAGGGGAAATTTGTTGCTCCCAATTGTGTAAGTTATTTGAAGCTTAAAGTAAATGTGTGCATCTGAACTAAAAATATTAACAATTTTCAATAGAAGGGAGAGACAACAAACTAATAGCCATGACAAACTAAGGTGGCACTTCAACACATGATGAGTGTTCACTGATTACTATTATAGTCAAACTAAATGTCTGACATAAAGAGGGTTTTAAATTGTTCACAGCACCTCGATTCCAGTGAGACATTAGTGTTCATGGATCTGTAAAGAATCCACTTCTCTGCAGATACCTGAGGGTTTCTACACTCTGGGTAAGTAGGAGTTTTCTGGGCCAAGAGATGGCACCTTTCATATTGTGATAGATTCTGGCCTGGCGATCCCCCTAAAAATGCAAAGAAATCTTTATCAATGACCTACTCTTTAGGTTTCCCCCCTGCAAAAGCCAGGAATGAATTGTATTTGTACATTACATGCATACATACGATACAGATTTGAATGTAATGACAACTCTTTGTTTTTATTTTCATTTCACTATTTTATTTTTGTAGACATGTATAATTAAATGTTTTTCCAATTCTTTATGTTATTTATTTATTTTGAGAGAGAGAGCGAGAGAGAGCACAAGCAGGGGAGGGGCAGAGAGAGAAGGGAGAGAGTCCTAAGCAGGTTTCACGCTATCAGCACAGAGCCTGATCTAGGGCTCGCACTCACACACTGTGAAATTATGACCTGAAATCAGGAGTCAGACACTTTGACTGGGCCACCCAGGCACCCCTCTAATTCATTTTTGATGTGCATTTGCATACTATTTTTTATTTTGTAGTTTCACCATATACACACAGGCACTTACACATTTTGGTATTATAATGTTTTTGTGGTGAAGCCAAAATCCTTTCTTCATGCCCTTTGCTTTTTATTTTTCCTGTGGAAGGCATCACCTATTTCACATTTAAAAGTGTTATGTCCCATCGGTTGTAATATATCATTGAATATTGTTTATTTTAACTACTTCACTTCAATTGTGTTAAAGTTTCAGATAATGTAGGGCTACTTGGGTGGCTCAGTTGGTTAACTGTCTGACTTTGGCTCAGGTCATAATCTCGCAGTTGGTGAGTCTGAGCCGCACATTGGGCTTTGTGCTGATAGCTCAGAGTCTAGAATCTGCTTCAGATTCTGTGTCTCCTGTATCTGCCCCTCCCCTGCTCATGCTCTGTCTCTCTCTCTCTCTGTTTCTCTCTCTCTCAAAAGTAAATATTAAAGTTTCAGATAAGGTATCTTTAGATATAATTTTACCTACTTTCATTTTTTTTCTGTTCCAAATTGTTTTGGTAATAGCCTCACCCAAAATCAAAATTGACACAAAATTGACTTGTAAGATAATTCTCAATTTTTATGTGAAACATCATGCTACTTTTAAATTTAGATTACACCAAATTTCTGTAGTCACTGAGGTTTTTATGTCACGATGTCCTCTAGGTTAAGAATTGGTTTGGGGGGGCGCCTGGGTGGCTTAGTCGGTTAAGCGTCTGACTTTCGCTTAGGTCATGATCTCGCGGTTCGTGGGTTCGTGCCCCGCGTCGGGCTCTGTGCTGACTGCCAGCTCAGAGCCTGGAGCCTGTTTCAGTCTGCGACTCCCTCTCTCTGACCCTCCCCTGCTCGCGCTGTCTCTCTCTCTCCTAGAAATAAATAAAACATTAAAAAAAAATTAAAAAAAAAAAAAGAATTGGTTTGCCAGGCTTTACTCCTGTCCTTTTATGTCTTCAAAAAGTTTTTTTTTTTAATTTTTAATTTTATTTATTTTTTTAACATTTATTTATTTTTGAGAGAGAGAGCATGAGCAGCGGAGGGACAGAGTGCTGGAGTCACAGAATCCAAAGCAGGCTTCAGGCTCTGACCTGTCAGCACAGAGCCCGACGGGGGGCTTGAATTCCCCAACCATGAGATCATGACCTGAGTCGAAGTAGACGCTCAACTGACTGAGCCACCCAGGTGCCCCTATCTTCAGAAAGTTTCAAAGATGTTTTTATATGGGTCTACAAAATGATTTCAAATGGGAGCCATAATATTTGGCTATTGTAAGTAGACTGGTGTGTGTATGTGTTGTGTTTGCTTAGTTTTTAAATTATTGTACTAAGCAGTATTGATTTCAGTGTATTAAGAATAGCCTTGTCCACTTTTTTAAATATTTTTATTAAGTGTGGTCATTAAAAAGGATTCTGTTTTTGGAATTTGAAATCCTGTCTTCTGAGAACAGCTCCTTTTCCGGGTCTTTGGCTCCACACTGTTGTATCTCCTCCCATTGTGTCTCCTGCTTGCCCTGCACCCAGCACCCTGTGTGCTGGAATGGCTGGGGTCCTGGCCAGCCCTCCTCTCTCAGCCTTCACTTCAGTGAGGCCGCTTCTTTGTCTGCTGCTGAATATGTTTGCTGAGCTTTTTTTGATTAACAAGAATTATTCCCCACTATTTGACATGAATTTTAAGGATTTCCGATTATTTTGAGAGGTAATGTTTTTCTAACAGTCTATTGATGTGCTCTAATTATTGAGGTATTTAAAAGTATTTAATGAAGGTGATACGTTTTCTAGTATTGAATCACTCATTGCAATAAACTACACTTGACAATGTTGTATAAGTGCTTTAACATTGGGAGAAGTCACAAATCCATTTTATGGATGGAAACTGATATATATAATTTCTATATTAAAATTGGCTGATGGCATTGTTCTTACTTGTGAATGACTGTTCATAATATTTTCTTGGAAGTTAATCAATTTCTCCTACATTTATAATAACAATATAATTCCTGTTTTTCTTACATTTAAGTTACTGCTTTTAAATGAATACATGGTTTATTTTATTTGCCAGTGTTATTGTTTTTCATAGGTCCTTTGTGATTGCTTGATTTCACTGTGCAGACTTTTATTAATTTCTGTCAAACCTGTTTTTTTTTCATTTCATTCTTTATTTACTCCTTTTATTCGTCTTCTATAAATATGTGCTTTATTTGTGAACATTTGAAAACTCAAAAGTCTTCTTTCCTTTTTTCTTCTTTTGGTTTATAAGTGTTTTTAAACTCATTGAAAGTTTGGCTTTAACTCTTCTCCAGAGGGTTAAAATGTGGAGCAATTCTTGATACAAAGCTATTCTTTACACATGGCCAACCAAATGCAGAGTTCACTTCTCTAAGAAAATATCTTTAGGTTATACAGTAACGTAGTTTTGCAACTTAATATTTATGTCATTATTGTATTTTAAATGCATTCAAGGAGGAAAATATTTTTTCTTAAGTACATGCACAGCCTGACTCATAATTAGCACAAAGTCTGACTCATAATTAGTGATCAATAAGAACTGACAAATTTTTAAATGTATTATTTTGTTTATACTTCCTTTTCTTTAGTTCTCATATGCTTCCACAGGTTTCACTGTCAACACACTATGCCAGACAAATACCTAATTCTTAAAAATTAAACATTTCCTAATTGTTATACTGTATTCTTCAGCAAAAGACCAATTTACAAACACAAATCTGTTCCTATTTCTTGCTTGCAGTTCTCCAGTGGATTCCCATTAGCTTTAAAAATTAAAAGAAAGACCAATCCAATCACAATGACCTTTGGGCCCTGAAATCCACTTGCCTGCCACCGTCTCAGGTTCATCGCCGTTACTCAGCTGCCTGCCAGTATGTTCTCCTTTCATGGGTGGCACTGGGCCCTGCAGTGTATCTACAGGGTTACACTTTCTCCCTGGGAGTGGGGGCAAGGAAGGGGGGAGGGGGGCATGCGGGTGAGCCTATTTCTATCTCTGCTGAACTTTCTAATGCTTTCCCAAGTAAAATATTAAGGTATCAGATAAATGGTACGTCCATTTTAAGAGTGTTTCCCCACTTCCACAAATGGAATGCTTTCGTATACGTACAGAGAAAAATCCTTGTCATTATTTCTTTAAAAATCTCTAGTTCTAAACTAGACAACTCCACAAGGACAGGTGATCTCTCTGCTTTGCTCATCCCATGTAATTTCATTGTCTGGTATAGTCTTGGCTCTGAGTTGACTTGAAACAGATTTATTTAAAATTTTTAATGTTTAGTTTTGAGAGAGAGAGAGAGAGGACAGAGACAGAGACCGAGCACAAGCAGAGGGGAGGGGCAGAGAAAGAGGGAGACAGAATCTGAAGCAGGCTCTGGACTCTGAGCTGTCAGCAGAGAACCCTACACAGGACTTGAACCCATGAACTGTGAGATCATTATATGGGCTGAAGTCGGATGCTTAACTGACTGAGCCACCCAGGCGCCCCTTGAGACGTATATTTATTAATGACAAAAGAAGTTCATCTCTTGTTCTCAAATGACTCAGATGTTGCAGTAAATAGGTTGAAAAGACAGAATATATCAAAGATACATGATAATCAAAATGTTCACAACTAACGGTTTTCCACTAAAATAATATATTCTAAAGATCTGCTGACAGAAGATTAAAATGTTTAGAAAACGACAAAGTATTTCTTATGACATCCTACCTAAAAGGAAAATACATTGCATGATTTTTCTTCCAAAATAATATATTCTATAAAGGAATGTCTTAATATTTAAAATTTTTTATTCCTTTTACCATCACTTTAAAATATACACTATTTAGAGCCAGTAGAAATTCCATGGTTATCAGAGGGTGAGGGTGGGGAAGAGGAATGGGAGTGGTTTAACGAGAACCTGTTTTCAGGTTTGGAAGATGGGAAGAGTTCTGGAGATAATGGTGGTGATGGCTGCACAACATTATGAATGTATCCAATGCCACTGAATCAGACCGTCAAAAATGATTTGAATGAGGGGTACCTGGAGTGGAGTGAAGCTCAGTCAGTGGAGCATATGACTCTTGATCTCAGGGTTGAGTTCAAGCCTCACATTGGGTATGGAGATTATTTAAAAATAAAATCTTAAGGGGCACCTGGGTGGCTCAGTCATTTAAGAGTCCAACTTTGGCTCAAGTCATGATCTCATGGTTCGTGGGTTCGAGCCCCGCGTCGGGCTCTGTACTGACAGCTAGCTCAGAGCCTGGAGCCTGTTTTGGATTCTGTGTCTCCCTCTCTCTCTGACCCTCCCCTTCTCATGCTGTCTCTCTCTCAGAAATAAAAAAAAAAAAAAAAGTTAAAAAAATTTTTAAATAAAATCTTAAAAAACATGATTAGAATGGTAAATGTATGAATTTTTCCACAATAAAATAAAATAGAAAAATATCCTATTTATAGTAAAATCAGTGCTTAAAGTGACCATTCACTCTGGAAATAAAACATCAAGTCATATAATTCATGCACTTAGTGGTAAAAATCTCATTTTTGGATAGAGGGAAGAAATCAGAATGTGTGAGTTCAAAGGCACAGAGCAGGTTTGAAATAGTTAAGGAACATGGAAGATTTACTAGTTACCAAACAAGAACGGTGTTGCCAGATATATGTGGATGCCGCCGTGAGGAGGGTCAGTATCCTAATGCTGTGCTGCATGTACAGTCATGGAACAGGCAGGTATTTGGAGTCCCCTTCTGTTGGGAAGGAAAATTCCAGTTCTAGCGATACCACTTTCTAACGTATGCTTATGGGTATGTATATGCTGGTATGTGTATAGTGGTGTCCTGGACCGCTGATGATGGCATTGATTAAATTAGTGCAAAATCATAACTAGCAGAATTATTTTGAGGAATAAATGAACAACTGTGTGTAAATTTTCAAGCACAGAGTCACATAAAATAAAACTATTGTTGTCCTGATATGAGATACAAATGGGTGAGTTAAACCTACTTCTGTTTGTGACTCATTATTATCATTTCTCCGTGAAATATACTTACTATGGATGTTTTAGGGAGGATTTCCAATTTATAAATGCTTTCACAGATACACACGTACAGAAAATCAAACCGTGAAACTCAGGAAAGTTGCAGCTAATGCAGATTTCAGTGAACAATTTTCTAAAACTTTAGTTGGAGCAAATAAATGCCCTCTTTAAATCCTTTTATTGTACAATTTCTGGGAGTACTACCCTGTAAAGATTGTTGAACATGACAGTAGTGCTGTAACCCACATATTCCTACAGTTCTCTGATGAAGGGGATTTTAAGGGTTAAATATGTGGCAGGGGTGTCATTGATTCTCAAAATGAAGTAAGTCGCCGAACTGATTAACCTTACCATAAAATGCATTCTTAATTCTGTTGTTTCATAACCAAACCCATTCAGAACAGGTCCAAAGGTCAATGTTGAGGGAGTGATATGTCTGGAGAGCCTTCTTGGAGGAGACCATGATTGATACGGAATCCAGAGGTCAGGGGGCAGGGAAGAATAGGAATGGAGGGAGATACCAGAGGGCTGAAGAGGAGCCAGGGAAAGTGCTAGTTAATACACAAACTAATACCTTAGCCTGAGAACTGTCACAAGGGTTCCACATATGGCAGGTGCCAGAAATCCTGTTTCGGAATCAGGAGGGAAGTGGGTTTTCACATTCTTCTTCCTAAATTGAGGGTACTTATGTCTTCTCTCCAAGCAACAAGAATCAGAGCCTTATGTTTTTCCCTGGTAATGGAGAGCCATCCTCCCTGCCCCCACATTTCCCTTGGAGTATAGTCAGTTGTGCTGGGGGTCACTTCCAGGTGAAGGACTGGGGCTTCATAACACGTGGGTATGGAAATGTGGGCAGCTGGAGTTTCATGGCTCCTTTCTCCTTCCTCAGCTTTGCCTCCTGTTCCTTGGACTGTATGAATGAAAACCCAGAAAACAGAATGGAATCACAAGTGAGTAGGCAATTATTATTTCTACTGAAATATCATGTCCATTGCTATCATATGGATATATATCTCCTATAAGTATTCATGTTATAAGTACACTCAAGTTTTTCAAGGATCTGAACTTGTTTTCCAAGAACTGTGAAATCATCATGTTTGGTCAAGGATTTTTCATGTGATAATCTCCTTCCCAAATGGTACCCTAAGATATCTCAGCCTAGGTTAATGACAGGTATTTACAAGACAGATATCAGAGATTTTCTTTGTCCATATCCAACCCATGGCCTTCTTGGCACCAAAAAAGCCTGCTCATTAACCATTTTATTGACTGTATTGGGCTTAGGTTGAGGTCAGTGCAGGTGATAAAGATGATTAAGAGCAAAACCTTACAGCCCAATAGGGAGGTAGCTGTTCCCACAGGTGAGCTCCAATGCAGTATTCTATGTGCTTGCTGCAGGGAGTGCTAATTAATATTGAGGGAAGATGAATGATGGCCATGCCGGAGAAGCCAGTGAGGAGTCATATTCATTCTCTCTCTCTCTCTCTCTCTCTCTCTCTCTCTCTCTTTTTCCCCCAAATTTAAACCTTGTAAAAGTTTTGATAGAATGTATTTGTACTTTTTGAAACTTATGAAAGAGAAAACAAATTCTCATTACTTCTCATGTACCAAATCCTACTTTTTCTCTCTTTGTAATTTCCCTTTGTTCAGATTTGGTAACTAGAAACGATGTTTAGGGAGTATTATTTTCTTAATTTCTTACTGCAATTCAGTAAAAGTATAGGAGGTAAAATAAAATTTAAGGACCTTTGGAGATTTTTGATGAGCTGAAGAGACAACAATAGTGGCTTTAAATATTCTTGAACAAAGACACAAGATGAAGAAACAAAAAGCACAGTATTAGCTGCTGTTGGTAGGACCTGAGGCCATAGGAAGGGTTCGATTAATACTGTCTTTTATTACAGAAGTCTGAGAGTCTCTGACTTGTGCTCATGAACCATTTAGCCTTATACTTTATAATGAGCAACATAGTTATGTGAAGATTAAAGGATGTGCCTGCTGATCTCCTATCCTGTGTGAATTCTGTTCAGTTTTGCAGAATTATGGACAGTGCATCAATATTATCTGACATTTATTGAATAATAAGACTAGAAGTTGTGTTTAGTGAAATGTTTGGAAGGGGTGCCTGGGTGGCTCAGTCAGTTGAGCATCCAACTCTTGATTTCAGCTCAGGTCATGATCTCATGGTTCGTGAATTTGGGCTACATGCTTGGGTCTCTCTCTCTCTCTCTCCCTCTCTCTCTGCCCCTCCCCCACTTACTCATGTGCATGTGTGCACTCTCAAAAACATTTAAAATTTCTAAAAATTAAAAAAAAAAGAAGTGTTTGTTCATTAGCAGTTTACTACGTCTTTGGATCTTTAAGAACTCATAAACAGTCACTACATCATTTCATGGATGATGAAACTGAGGTCATAAAGGGGAATAATTTAATCATAGTACTTAAAAAGTGGCAAGTTGTATAATGAGTCCATAGATTTCCTTGAAATTAGCAGAGAATAGTGTTTTAAGTTTTCAGGAGAAACTTTTATACTCGTGATATGGAGGTCTTCTTTTTTAATGTTTATTTATTTTGAGAGAGACAGAGGCAGCACAAGTAGGGTAGGGGCAGAGAGACACACACAGAGAGAGAGAGAGAGAGAGAGAGAGAGACTGAGAATCCCAAGCAGGCTCCATGCTGTTAGTAGAGAGCCTGATGCAAGGCTGAACTCAAAACTGTGAGGTCATGACCTGAGCGGAAACCAAGACTCAGACACTTAACCAACTGAGCCACCTAGGTAACCTGATCTGGAAGTCTTAATTACAAGTTTATTGGGAAATTCACAGATTATATTATGCCACATCTCATCTGATATCTCTTTATAATGAAAGTTATGTATTTAGAATGTGTATGCCGTGGGTCTGTTTGAAAGTCAGATGTCCAGATGTGCACCGCAAACGATGACCGAACCCAGCATCCTATTTGAACTTTCTGTACATGCAGCCCCCACTTCCTTAGTGCTGTCCCCTATACCATCCTTCCATGAATATTGGCAGAAATGACCCTGTCTGAAAACAATGTCCATAATGCTCTAGGAATCACTGACCTTTGAGGATGTAGCTGTAGATTTTACCCAGGAAGAGTGGACCCTGCTGGACAGGTCCCAGAGAAAACTTTTCAGAGATGTGATGCTGGAGAACATGAGTCATCTGGTCTCAATTGGTGAGTCTCTTACTATTTATCATGTATGTATATGTTTATCCGTCCACTCATTCATTCAGCAACCACATAGAAGAGCTTCCTCATTTCTCACTGCAGACTCTGTCTTGATTCTTTTTTAACTCTTACAACTACCTTACAACAGACTTCTTCACGTTTTACTTTATCATCCCACTAGAATGTAATCTTCCTCACACAATTTCATGCTGTTCTTGCTACTTAATCTCCAGAACGCTCAAACAGTGGTGAGAACTCATTATTTTTGAATTAATAAGTCAATGTATTGACTTTTTAAAAAAATATTTTTTTTCCTGTTGGGACTTTGGTTAGATCAGACCACGGTATTAAAAACAAACTATTTTTGGGGGTGCCTGGGTGGCTCAGTCGGTTAAGCGTCCAACTTCGGCTCAGGTCGTGATCTCACAATTCATGGGTTTGAGCTCCACATCGGGCTCTGTGCTGACAGCTAGCTCAGAGCCTGGAGCCTGCTTCAGATTCTGTATTTTCCTCTCTTTCTGAGCCTCCCCTGCTCACGCTGCCTCTCTCTCTCACACACAAATAAATAAAAACATTAAAAAATAAAAAATAAAAATAAAAACAAACTATTTTCCACATAGAACCTGGATTTTTTGGGTGGGGTTATTATTCATTGTATTCGTTTGGGATATAATATTCACACATTTTGAGAACTTATATATCTTCTTACTGTATTAAAATATCCAAGATTGCACAATTTGTCTTTGAACTTTGTTGGGCATCAACATTAGGTCCTTAATGTTTTTGGGAACAAGTGAATAGTTAAGCTTTTGTTGGTGAAGAACCAACATGTTCTTCCCTGGGATGACTTTCAGAGGTTACCTTATTCTTTCTTATTAGTTGGCTCTGTATTGATGATCATGCACTGTTTTGGACACAAAACCCAAAATTTGATTATCTTTTTTCTACTAACAGGTAAACAACTCTACAAATCAGATACAGTTTCTCACTTGGAGCAAGGAGTGCAACTTTCAAGAGAAGGAATAGGTTTGCTGCAATGCCAGAGTCTAGGTGAGCTACAGGAAGAGCCTAATCAGTGAGTGAGTAGGTCCTAATAATCATCAAATGAAATTTAGTGGCTTTTTTTTTTTTTAAAGCTAGACAATGTCTTGGGGGAAATTTCTTCAGACGTTGTCATTATACTTTATAGGTGTCAATTTCTATTCTGTCTTTGGCTTTAGGAAGGTAATAGTTATGTACTTCTTGGTTAAGATTCACAAAAATGTCTCTTTTTGTGATTCTCTTCTATGAAGATTTTCCCTCTCTTTTCATTCCCAAATTGTCATCTCCATCTTATTTTTCTCATATTTCAGTACTGAAAATGTCAACTGCTGATGTCCTATGTGTTTCTTCTTACAGTATTCCCTAATTTGGCATTTTTCCTTCCCATCTCTGTGTTAGCATTTGAAACATATTCAAATGAGTATTTGGTGTCTTCAGCATTTTAATTCCCTCAATGTCACTATGACAATTTTTCCCCCAATCATTTCAGATAGGGAAGATGATCTTAAAAACCAAGACATGATATTCATGCAACATATCTACAAGAAGGACACGACATTAATCTGTGCAATGGTAAGCTTTAAGAGTGTGAACTTGTTCTTCCAAATGGTCTGGATATTGAATATGTAAGGAATTGGGCACAATTACCCAACCATAATTGAAAATGGAATCAAGAGCTGTCCCAGTAGGAAGTTTTGGTTTGATTTTAGTGAAGAAGTTAATCTGAGTTCAAAACCATAACTTGAGTTCTTGTAAAGAGATAGCTGCATAATTATCACTTATTATACCTAATGTTTGAAACCTAATGTCTCTTGGGATGCTACAAAAATTTGTGCTTGCCGGAATTAATACCCTGTGTTTATGTAACTAATATAAAAAGTTTTGTAGGACTCTGTCACCAAATGATGACTGTAGAATTTATATGTAGATGAATGAAGGAATAAATATGAGCAAATTTTTAACAGTCTCTCATTTCCTTTCAAAAACCAGAAATCTCATACCCAAGAAGATTCTTTTGAACACAATGATTTTGGAGAAAATTTTACTGAAATATTAACATGGACTCAATATGTGGTACCTAAAATGGGAAAGGATCTCTATATCAGCAACAGATGTGAACAAGACAGCAGTTATTTGACATCCGTTAATGTACATAAGCAGAGTCACACTACAAGTAAATCATATGAATGTCATCAAGGTGGGAATGCCTTTATTCAAAGCTCTGTTCTTAGACAACCCAATAATACTCAAAATGGAGAGAAAACATTTGAATGTCATGAATGTGGGAAAGCCTTTGGAAAAAGTTCTAACCTTAGGCGACATGAGCTGATTCACACTGGAGTGAAACCACATGGATGCCATCTCTGTGGGAAAGCCTTCACTCATTGTTCCGACCTTAGAAAACATGAGAGAATTCACACTGGAGAGAAATCATATCGATGTCATCTGTGTGGGAAAGCCTTCAGTAAGAGTTATAACCTTAGGCGACATGAGATGATTCACACTAGAAAAAAACCTCATGAATGTCATCTATGTGGGAAAGCCTTCACTCATTGTTCTGACCTTAACAAACATGAAAGAACTCACTTTGGAGAGAAACCATATGGATGCCATATATGTGGGAAGACATTCAGTAAAACATCGTACCTTAGACAACATGAGCGAACTCATAATGGAGAGAAACCGTATGAGTGTCACCTCTGTGGGAAGGCGTTCACTCATTGTTCTCACCTTAGAAAACATGAGAGAACCCACACTGGAGAGAAACCATATGAATGTCATCTATGTGGGAAAGCCTTTACTGAATCTTCTGTCCTTAGACGACATGAGAGAACCCACACTGGAGAGAAACCTTATGAATGTCATCTGTGTTGGAAAGCCTTCACTGACTCATCTGTCCTTAAACGACATGAGAGAACTCACACTGGAGAGAAACCATATGAATGTCACCTATGCGGGAAAGCTTTCAATCACTCTTCTGTACTTAGACGACATGAGAGAACTCACACTGGTGAGAAACCATATAAATGCAATGTATGTGGGAAAGCCTTCAATAGAAGCTATAACTTTAGACTACATAAGAGAATCCACACTGGAGAGAAACCATATAAATGTTATGTATGTCCGAAAGCCTTCAGTAAATATTTTAACCTTAGACAACACGAGAAAACACATGTGAAGGTAATAAATTCAGAAGATCCACCACCTATAGCTTTAAACACTCTTGAGGGCCCAAACACTTAAGAAACACTTTGTAATCAGTGTGGGAGAGCCTTTATACATCCTTGACTTCACTCAGCCAAAGTTAATCCAAAATGGAGAGAATCCATATATGGGCCATCTGTATGACAAAGCCTTTAGATAGTGGACTGACCTGGGAGTCAATATATGACCTGGGAGAATGTAAATGAAGTGAATGTGGAAGAATTTTCATCCACAGTTCTGTTAAACCTAATGGAGAAGTCATGTAAGAGATGAATCTGTGTCGTTAATCAATGTAGAAATACTTTCATTTATCCCTTAAATAAGCAAATAAATTGCACAGGAGAGATTCTAGATCTGTAATCACTTTGTACTCATTGAATTGAGCAACACACTTGGCATCCAGAAGAAAACTCGGTGATATATATCTGCTAAAACAAGAATTAAGTGGGAAAGAATCATTACTAGGAAGACAAGAGAATTTTGTTGCCAAAGGGTTGTGTTCAGTGAGAACTAGGACATGAAAACGACTGAAGACATTTTAGAGTATCCTATTTCCAGAATGCCTAATATACTTACACCAATCTCTCTAGGGACAAAGCACTACTACTACTAGTGACAAAAAAAAAAAAAACACTGTTTGGCAAAGCTGAAAGCAAAGGCAAAGACAATCTGACCTTGCCTATATCCCCATCACAACAGCTACGAATCCACAAATCATCAAGTGAGAATGAGACCTGAGAGTCCCAGCCCCTCCACATGCAAATGCAGAAAGCTAGGAGAGTGGTTAGTTGGTGCTTCTCTTCTGCCAGGATAACAAGAGAAGGCCAAGTCATTATTTGAATGTGATTAGTAATCCTGCTTCACAAGTGGCAAAAAAGATAATGTAGATGCTTATAATTATTTTATAGTATGAGGGAGTATGCAATGCCTTTTCCAACCCCCCACTTTATTTCTGTCCTTTGGTTTGATTATATATTATTGCTGTGTCCTCAAACTGACTTAATTTCGTTTTCAGTGTGTAAAGTCTATTAAACTCATCCATTAATGTCACCAACAGGACATAGTTTCTGAAATCTAGAACTACTAAATTTCTCCATCTTTTCATATTTCTTATAACTTCCTCTTTTTAGTGTACTGTTATAAATTTTCCTAACTCCAGTCTCAAGATACATGTGGATTTGTTCATTGTGTCTTTTTTATTTTTCCATCACCTTTCCTGCTGCTTTCCAATGATCGTTTTTTTTTCCACACATGGACTTTAAAAAAAAAAAAAAAAGGAGAGACTGAAGTTGATATTCTTTTATCCAGAGTAGTTTATTATTCTCTTAACATCACTTCTTCCATTCAGGAATTGAAGTACATTCATAAAAAGGGGCCATCTGGGTGGCTCAGCTAGTTAAGCATTCAAGTCAGTTTCAGCTCAGGTCATGATCTGTTTGTGAGTTCGAGCTCCACATTGGGCTTCGCACATACTGCACAGAGCTTAGTTGGATTTTTGTCTCTTCTGCTCCTCCCCTATCCATGCTTTCTCTCTCTCTCAAAATAAACTTAAAAATTACACTCAGGTTAGGTTGCAGCTTTTATTTTATTCAAACATTCATACCTTTCAGGTCATTCTTCTAGACTTACTGAAGACACCTTCCGAAGTACTATAAACTGAGAAGATAAAACGCTGACTTTCTTTTCCTTTGTATCCCTACCTAAAAACCTATGGGGAAAAGGATCCCAGTATTAGACATTCTCTATATTTCAATCAGCCTATGCAAGTCCACATTTACATACCGATCTACTTGTTATTGTTCCCTGGTGGTGAACTTTTGTCTATGATTTTCAATGTCTGTACTAAGCAAATTCACCCAGGTATGGAAATTAGATGATCTCTTCTCTTCCTGGAATTATGGTTCTTACAGTCCTCTCTGATTCCACAAATCTCTGAATTTAGAACAATACAACTTTTATTTGAACCTTTAATTTCCTCTTGTCTCTCTACTCATACATCTTACCTGGAAGTAGAAGCCTCAATTTTTTTTTCACATTAAAACACTCATAACTGAAGTATTTTTATTTTATGTACAATGAGTTGGTATTGAGATAGGTTATCTTGGGGGTGCCTGGGTGGCTCAGTCGGTAAGAGTCCGACTTCGGCTCAGGTCATGATCTCACGGTTCGTGGGTTCGAGCCCCACATCGGGCTCTGTGCTGACAGCCAGCTCAGAGCCTGGAGCCTCCTTTAGGTTCTGTGTCTCCCTCTCTCTCTGACCCTCCCCTGCTCATGCTGCCTCTCTCTCTCTCTCAGAAATAAAACATTAAAAAGTTTTTTTAAAAAAAAAAGATAGGTTATCTTGGATATCTGCAGTGAAGGTAGATATCTTGGATGACCCACTCAAGGAAGTTCACTTAATCCAACTTAATGAAGCCTATATCCTTCATATGTTGGTGGAAACAGTGGTGGCACATGTTGAGGCCATATTTCCAGATCAGACTGCTGGTTTGAGCAGATGTAGCAAGAACAAGAACCCTGGCCAGATTTTCTCTGATGGTTCCAGTACAGCTGCTGGTGACTCATCTTGCTCTCTCAGATGCAATGAGGCAAAAGGCAGAAGCCTCAATATTTTGTGTAAACAAAGCGAAACTAGCATTTTGGCATCAGGCCTGTGAAATTTACTGGGGCCATGTCTAAGGGAAGGCCAGATCCTGACCAGTGGAAAACTAGAATCAAGGGTCTGAATGGTTCACAGATGGGGAAACCTGTTGTGCACTAGTGATGAGAGCTGGGAGTGGAAGAGTTCTTGAATTTGGACACAACGTTGGGGACTGAGTTATGGAAATATGTGGTGGAAAGCCTATAGGTCGGGGGATCAGAAAACCTAAACTCTCCACCACGGGAAAGGACCACGGCCACTTTGAGGCAACAATTCCAAGGTGAAAATGTGAGGTGATACGTGTTGGAGGAAGGAGGTGCAGGTGCAGAAACACCTGAGAGTAGGGTAGATGAGGCATAGACTCCTGACACTGGCCATTTGTTTCTCAAAACCCAGCACCACCTGACCCAAGCCTCAGAGTCCTTGCCCCGTTCTGGATGAGGAGGGCTCTTTGGCCACACCCCTCTTTGACCAACACCACCTGCCCTATAGTATCCTGTTGAGCTAGAAGCAGATTTCCTGGAACAAAGGTGCCACTCTAGCGGCCAAGGTGCTCTGGTCTTTAGATTCAAATGTTGCACCCATTGACACCCTTCCCACCAGTTCTCCACGTCTGGTTGCAGGGGTCTCTGCAGACATCACAGTCCATGTACTTTCCCATACCATTATTGGAGAGACCCACATCATCCTGAGGCGCAGGACGCTCGTCATTCTGCTGCCAGATCTGACTCATTTTGTTTCTGGTTGAGAATTCATGGTTAACTATCTCTGTCTGGACGTTCTGCCTTTCGGTTCTTCACAGACTTCTGTACCAACGCAATGTCGGGTCACAAGGGGAGTGGATTATTGCCCTTCACCACCATCAAACCTGTAGGCCATGCCATCTCTGGTCCTAGGAGTCTGCAGACCCTAGTTCTCTCCTGAGGCCCCTTTTCTGTTCTGGGAGCTGCGCCCTGCTGCTTCTCAGGCCTTCCCTTCAGTCTACCTTAGGGAGGTCCCTGAGCCCTGGATGGGAGAGGTCGCCAACCTCTCCTGACATCCCATGTCCTTCTGTTCCAAATTTCACCTTCTTTGCTATGCTGGCATGGTGTTTACATTCCCAGGGTTTCACTGGAAACTCAACTTTTCCTAGGAGGTGGGGATTTTTAGTATATCCATACAGATGTATGAGTTGTGTGTGAGGATATGGAGGAAAGAACAAATCAAAGAGGGAAAACAAGGAAGGCAGAATGAGTCAGAGAAAGTGAGGTAGAATGAGAGACTAAAATAAAGGTCGGGGGGGAGTGGGTGCAATGAACTCATAAAGACATGGAAGCAAAATAAGTGGTCTGGATAAGAATCGGTGGGGTAAATGAAAACAGATAAAAATGGGAAGATCAGAGATGTAAGAGGACAGAATAGAAGTAGGCCTTAAACAACAGAAGCACAGGGTACAAAGGAAGGGCAAATGCCATAATCATTACATTTTTAAAAATTTTCTAAACTACTTCCCCCTCAAAATTTATTGTCATATTATGAGGCCTCAGTGTTTTTCAGTATTGTATACTGGAAATATTCTCCAGTCCTTGGTAAATAATTTGGCATCATTTCAATATACAGTGTGTAAGGATATTCAATTTTTTATATAAATAAGTAAAAGATTGTTTAACCAGTTACTCTAATATTCAGCACCATCCTTCCTCTCCTTATGTGATCCTCTGACTTAATAAATAGGAAGCTCAACATGATTAGTAGATTGCATAAAGCCATCTCCATAGCAGACTTTTCAGGGTTTCCTGGATCTTTTACTTATAATTTTATACAGTCAAACATAAAAACTTTCCTTCATGCCCCCTCTTTTTAGCCTTCCTGTAAATGACTCCCTATTTTGCTATTATGATATATTACTTTCTGAGAAAACAGACTTCATTAACATGCCAGAATAATTTTTCTGTTGTCTTCCTCTTAAAGAACACTGATTAGACCATGATCCATGGATGAGAGGGCCTGTGTGGAAATCTGGGAAGCCAGCAGAGAAGCTCCAGGACGCTGCTGGAGCAAGGAAAAAGAAGACTGGATGCATTAAAAAGCACAAGAGTCAAAGTTTCACTTCAACTGTGTCTGCATGTGGCCTGGCTTTGCAGTAGCAAGAGAAGGCATACAATCAGGAATTCCACACCCCGCAACAGGGGACAAGAAATGTGGTGCAGGACTACACACAGAAAAGGTATGAGAAAGGATATAGCAAATACAAGATTTAAAAGAACATAAAGAATGAAGGAAACATGAAACCGCCAAAATTACACAATAGTTTTCCAGCATCGGACCACAAAGAAATGGAAGCGTGCAAGTTGCCCATTAGACTTCAAACGGGTGCCTGGGTGGCTCAGTCAGTTAAGCGTACGACTTCACCTCAGGTCATGATCTCATGGTTCGTGGGTTCGAGCCCTGAGTTGGGCTCTGTGCTGATGGCTAGCTCAGAGCCTGGAGCCTGTTTCAGATTCTGTATCTCCCTCTCTCTCTGACACTCCCCTGCTCATGCTCGCTCTCTCTCTCTCTCTCTCTCAGAAATAAATAAACATTTTTAAAAAATTTTAAGACTTCGGGGGCGCCTGGGTGGCTTAGTCGGTTAAGCGACTGACTTTCGCTTAGGTCATGATCTCGCGGTTCGTGGGTTCGAGCCCCGCGTCGGGCTCTGTGCTGACTGCCAGCTCAGAGCCTGGAGCCTGTTTCAGTCTGTGACTCCCTCTCTCTCTGGCCCTCCCCTGCTCACGCTGTCTCTCTCTCTCTCCTAGAAATAAATAAAAATATTAAAAAAAATTTTTTTTAAGACTTCAAAACAGTTGTTTTAAGGATCTTAGTGAGCCACAAGAAAACACAGAACAATTCAACAGAATGAGGAAATCAGTACATGAACAAATTGGGAAGTTAACAAAGTGATAAAAATTTTAAGAACCAAACAAATGCTGGAGCAGAAGAATACAATAAATGAAATAAAAAATGCAATGGGG